CATACTCTCGTTCAGCCGCAGATATCGACCACCACATGTCCAACCACTATCCTTCCAATTCTCCTACTCATCCTGTGTCAGGAGATCGACGTACGTCCGGCGGATTAGGTGTCTATCTTCCCAACACGAGCAGTTCGGCATTAATACCCCACTCTATTGGTATTCACCCAGACAAGGAATACAGCAGTATTGGAATAATCCCAGAAGCATTTCAAGCTGCCCCAAATAGACACACATCTACCCAACACTTCTCATCTTCTAACCACCACCGTCCTCCCATCCCACACAGCAGCTCGCCCGCCGCTCTCTCTATAAACACCAATTACTACAACGCCCCCTCCGACGCTGAGCGTGAAGGGTATCTCCATCGCCAGTTTCAATCGCTTGCACCGTCCGGCGATCTCGCTCTGCCCGCCAACTCCAACTCCGGCCCAAACATACTACGCTCTACTCTCTGGTGGGGCGAACTCGAACCTTGGATGGATGAAGAATACGCAAAACAGGTTTGTGCTCTGATGGGTTGGGACCCAGTTACCGTCAAAGTTCCAAACCCCAGCCCAGACGCCGTCGCCCCTCAACCAACCAACAACTCTGGTTACTGCTATCTCACGTTCCCCTCACCAGCTATCGCTTCTTCTGTTCTCAACCAAGTGAACGGTGGCGGGAGTGCGCAGCCAGTCACAATGCCAAACTCAAATAAGCCCTTTGTCCTTAACTGGGCTTCTTCTGCTCCCACCGGTTCAATTGCGCCTTCTTTCCAAACAGCTGGTGTAATTGTCCCTACGGCACAACCACAGTTCCCGAAAGAGTACAGCATATTTGTTGGTGATCTTGCACCAGAAACTTCCAATTCAGACCTCGTGGCCGTGTTTCGGAACCCAGTGCTTGGTCTACGGAATGATCGTGAACCCAAGTTCATTCGGCCTTTCTTGAGTTGTAAGAGTGCCAAGATCATGCTCGATCCTGTAACTGGCATATCGCGAGGGTATGGGTTTGTACGGTGAGTCTGTTGTGCAACGAGACGAACAAACTCATAGTCCCCCCTTCGCACATAGATTTACCGAGGAAGCGGACCAACAGCGTGCACTGATAGAGATGCATGGTCTGTACTGCCTTTCACGTCCAAGTCAGTCGTCTTCGTATCCTACTTCGGGCAAGTTAATAACGCGATTTTTTTTTGCAGTGCGAATATCTCCTGCCACGGCCAAATTCAAGCCGCCTCCTATGCCAACGGATCTTCCCCAAATTCAGTTTCTTGGTTCCCCTACTTCTGATCAGCGGCCAAACCCAGTGACGGTAGCCCTCCCGCTTGGTGTTCAGCCAAGGAGCGTCTCTGCACCTATGGCAGCTTCGACGAGCGCCGGATCTTCGTCTTCGTCTTCGTTGGCCAGCGTGCCCGTTGGTTCCTCCGCTTCGGGCTCAGCGTTGAGCGGCTCAAGCTCTATACCTTCCCTTGGATCTGAGGCCAGCACAACCGCGTCTTCAGGAGTCTTGTCTTCGATGTCGTCGGATGAAATGCTTGGTCTCTCCGCCAATGTCCTTGCCCTCGCCCACCAGTATGCCAACGGTGGCTCCATTAGTAACGCCAAAGGTATCGTTCCTTCTAGTTCGGCATATGACTCACAAGATCATTCCGTGGCACCGCGGTACATTATCTCTGAAGAGTCATGGAAACACCACGCCCAGGCCCGTGCTATCCTTGGCAACCTCATCGGGCCGAATGGCGAGCAGCTCACTTCTACCGACCCCTATAACACGACTGTTTTCGTCGGTGGGTTGTCGCCTTTGATTTCTGAAGAGACCTTGCGGACGTTCTTTACTCCGTTCGGCGAGATTCACTACGTGAGAGCATTCGCGCTATTGGTGGGACGCTAATGTAGCGGTATCTGTACAGGTGAAGGTGCCCGTCGGCAAACATTGTGGCTTTGTTCAGTTCGTTCGAAAGGCTGATGCAGAACGGGCTATCGAGAAGATGCAGGGCTTTCCTATCGGGGGGAGTAGAATTCGATTGAGCTGGGGTAGAAGTCAATGTGCGTCCTCGTATGTTGTGACACGCCCAACTGACTAATGGTGATATCATAGATAAAGCTGCGCAAGCTGCTGCGCAGGCAGCTCAGGCAGCCGCACTTCAGGCTCAGTTCCAGGCTCAGATGGCATCTGCGCAGGGCCAGGCTCCTCAGAGTCAGATGACGCCAGAACAGGCGATTCAACTCTTGCAAAGGCTTGGTCTGTCAGGCCAAGGTCAATCTGGCGGTGGAAGTGATGCATCGAACCGCAATTACGCCGATGCTGCAAAAGGCAGTGGATACTCTGAGGAAAAACTAAGGTCGCTCATCATGAACCAGCCACTCTCTGACAGTCAACTGCCGTACGATGTGTGTCCAGGGGGGTCCGGACCACGCCCACCATCAAACATGAGTTCTGTGGAACACCATAGATCACATCTCACGTCCTCGTTCTCTCCTTTCTCCCCGGACCCGAATATGTACACACGGAGAGGTTCAGACAGCTACGATCTGCTGCCCCATTCCATGAACCCGTCGCGCTATGATAACATCATAGAGTTCAAGGCTGCGACTGCCCATTCCAATGAGAGAGCCGTTCCTCCTGTACGTACACCAAGTGGGTCCCAGCGATATGTTCCGTTCCTGGATGGCTCTGCCAAGATGTTTGAGGGTGGGCGTTGCATAACGCGCCAAGAACCAATCTCTCGGCCGAACTCCAGCCAGACATCATCACAAGGACGCTCGAGCCAATACGATGTGCAGGAACACGATCCCATCCACGATCTCAATGGCACGCTTGCAAGCTTGGATCTCGACCAGCATAACACACATCCGTCGTCGTCGTCATCTTGAGCAGCGTTGTTCAGAACGCTCCTCGCCTTCGCTATGCGCCCTAATTCAAATCCCTTCTTTTTGATTTCGCTGCTCAATTTCATCTCCTTGTTTCGTTTTGTTTGTCCGTTTGCCTTGGACCACGACATACTATCACACTGGATCATGAGCTGGGTTATGCTCCTATTGTCGGTCACCCGTTATTTGCTCTCGAGATGTGCCTATTACGATTTGTTTCGATTCCCTCTGCTACCCTCTCCTCTTCCGTCTCCATCTGTGTTTGATCTGTCTTTATTACGCTTGAGTCTGTGAAAGAATGAAGTCTACATACAATCTGTCTAAAGTAGCACCAGCCAACAAATTTTATAGTAGTACCCACTTCAGTTACTACCTTTACCTGTTTGTTTTATACTGCTATACGCTTGGAAGTAATTGTTCTGGTAGGATCCTGCACGCATACGTTAAATCATTGAATAACATTAAGGCATACCAACCATCGTAAAAAACGGAGACCTAAGGAAGACCTAAGGAATTGAGTCATGAACAAACAGGGCTAATAAGATATCCGTGAAAATACATGGATAGATATAGAGCAACAAAATAGGAACCGTCCACTAGAGAATCAAAATAAGTAAAAGATTATATATCCGCGATGCTGGCTAGAAGACCTGCACGACCTGTGCCGGAAAGGGACTCGCCCACTTCGTCACGCAGTGCAGACCCAGATGCCTCAGCATTATTGCTGGAGCCAAGTCTACCAACAACATCGCTTTGAAGTTGCATAGGAACGAAAACGACCTTAGTGTTACCAGACTTGGCCATCTGCTGCAGAGCCTCCAGCTGACGGATTTGCATGGCAGCTGGTGATGCGAGGATATCGGCTGCTTGGCGCATAAGGCGAGCAGAATCAACTTCTGCGCGGGCTGCAATGACCTTGGACTCTCCAATACGCTTCTGTTGCGCAGCAGAAGACAGAGAAGCGGAAACTTCGGGGCTGAAAATGATATCCTTGATCAGGATACCTTCAATGGCAACACCCCATTTATCGGCAACGTCACCGACAATCTCAGCAATCTCGAAGGCGATGGCCTCGCGCTCAGTTACGACACTTTGAACGGCGCGAGCACCGACAACGTGCCTCAAGGTGGTCTGAGCGCGTTCGATAAGCGCCTGGCGTAGATCACTGATGCCAAAGGCAGCACGATAAGGGTTAACAATCTGGAAGTAGATGACAGAGTCACTAGAGGATGGGTGCCGTAATGATCAATTAATGGATGCAATATATGAATATAAAATTAGCGCACATTTCGACATTAACATTGTCACGAGTGATGACGGTTTGCCTGCCAATGGCGCTAATTTGAATTTTGACATCGACAATGCGCAAGTCTTCCGTGCAGACATTAACTTGTACGAGACCAGGGTCGACCGACTTGTAAAAGTGGCCAAACCTTGTGACCAGACCAACCGAACCTTGACCGGAATCCTAGTCAGAACATGATTTGAACATTGAAGAGTGCAGTACATACCTTGTTGGACATTTCGGAATGGGTTTGGGAAAGGGCAGCAAGGAATAGCACCGCAGAACCCGACACAGGTGCCAAGACCTTGCAGGAATGACCCATAGAAGCCATGAGTGACCTATGCTAATATGAGGAGAGAGGTGTATCACATAAATGAGCAGACGTACCTCCCCAGTACCGAGGTCTTGTGCATACGAGGGCTAAACAAGACCCGTCAGATATCATGACCTAGATTGCAAAGTATGGTGTTATTGACCTGCATCTCACTGCGTTTCAAAGGCTGGACGTTGATCATGTGGTTCTTTCCAGCAGACTCTGGTCCGTTCCTCCTGGATGCAAGCTCGTCTGTAACTTCAGACATGGTGAGAATGCGTTCAGCGCAATGGGCTGAAACAGACTCTCGACTTACCATTGGGAGCGTTATGATCAACTACGTTCCCACGGGAAGAGCTGCCAGAAGGAGATGGCACACGGTCTTTACGATCTTGGTCGCTCGACATTATGTTACAGTGAAAATGACAAACTGTCGAGCGAGTTTTTAAAAGTTTTCAATAGGTGTGAGGGTAGTAGTAAGACAAGGCGTAGTTCTCACAGGATGTATTATAAGACCCGTTGCATTGCCGCTGCACAATTACCGAGTCAGGCCTAAAGTACGCTACGTCACAGTGCTGTGCGATGACACTCCTCCATAATACTAGCTATCGGCCGCGCGATGTAGAAAGGACAACAAATGTCCCTCCTTTCGTGTAGGTTGGTCCGCAGTTCAAGCTTTCAAGCCGCATGACTTGCTGGACACAGCCTTCAAGGTACATGTGGAAAATCTGCGCAGCAACGGTCCATGAGAGATTCCGCCTTTCCGTCGGAACTATCAGGGCTGAACGTTAAATGAGCACAGCTCGACGATTACAGGAATTACCACCCGCCCTAGACCTGCTATCCGGGTGACTGCATGCTCAGGAAAGTGGCTCTTGTTGTTCGCTTGGCTTTGTTGGCAAGAAACGACTGAGTTTGAATTTATCGGCTTGAGTGTGCATCCGAGCACTACCAATACTAACATACTTTTAAAGAGCATCTGGATTTCTAGCTAGCCCATGACAAGTACAGACAGAAAATATTGGCTTATGAAAGCCGAGCCAGATTCGCGTGTAGTGAAGGGCAAAGATGTCAAGGTGTGTGTTTTGTTTCAAGAAGTGTTCCATAAACGTGAGAGCTCAATATATAGCCCGCTGTATTGCGCGTACTATAGTTCAGCGTAGATGATTTTGAAGCTGCAAGGACGACGCCGTGGGAAGGGGTGCGGAACTTCGAAGCACGTAACTTGATGAAGGAAATGTCCATTGGAGACAAGGTGCGTATCCTCTGACCTCAATTTGATATTTCATCAAGCTCGTCAGAAAGATATTATTCTATCATTCCAATTGTAAAGGCCCTGGTCAGTGAGTGATCGTCCTTATGAATTTTACCTTAACGTGTATGCAGGCATCGCTGGGTTTGCTGAGGTTTGCTGTCCAGTTATTTTCTTGCCTTCCATACTTATTCCTTCTCATAGGTGTCAAAGGAAGCGTACCCCGACTGTACGTCCTGGAGATATAAATATCCAAAACATCTTTCTCATAGGCTCGTACCTATCTTATAGACACGGCATGGGACAGGTTCGATTCGACGTAAATTTTACCAAGCATTTACCACATTGACGTTACTGTTATTCAGCTCTCACCCCTACTTCGATCCGGTAAATTTGATACAGATTATATTCGTGCGCCCTATTGAGCCGTAGCCTCGGACATTCTATTAGAAAACTAAACGAGATGATCCGAAGTGGTTTATGATAGATGCTACATTCCTATCTCGCGCTGAACATTTTGTCCCGCTGTCTCTTCTCCGCCACATCGCAGAATCGGCGAAATCGGACCTACCAGATGAAATTGCGTATATAGGCACGGATGGAATGAAAGCTGTGAAAGGTACCGAGACTTCTGATTTCGCTCAACTACCCAACAATGACTCGCTATGTGTTTCACTATAGCGATGCCCCTTGTCACACGCGGACGTTTGAGCGTTCAACGGGTCAGTCAGGAATGTTGGGGGATCATCCAGATGATGTCAGAAAAAGGTGGTTGGGAGGAAATGACATTCGGGAAGAAAAAACCGAGTACATCAACACGCCCAAGACAGCCTGCCACAAAGAATTCTAGGGCGAAAACAAATCCAACGAACAACGGCGGCGGTGGCAGCGAAGTTGAGGGGAAGGTTGATGCGAGTGAAGAGCCCGACATAAAACCAAAGAAAGGCAAGAAAAGGAAGGCATCTGATGTCGATACTGGAACTCAGAAGGTCACGGTACCTCACCGACGCTCCGTTCGGACTAAGAAGGAGGATTGACATATTTATACGATTATGCTGTACTTGTCACTGGTCCTTGCATCCGGTGGATCAGCTGCGGGCACAGCGAGGTACACTCCTTTCGCAATTGTATTGATTGCCTTGTTGGCGCACTAGGCGCGCCATTTATGCTATTCATTTAGGTGGTTTGCATGACTATTCCTACTATTCCCTGTCTATGTTCCAGAACAGGATAGATGTCGCAGAACGGCAACTCGTGATCAGAATGCTAAAGCTATCCGCCACAGCTTTGCTATTATTGATTGATCTGCCGTAATTACTACGGACGATGTACTCCCGCCTCCCAGCTGGTGCATGTTCGCTAGTCTGTTGGGGAAACAGCACACGCACAACATCCAATGTGTTATTCCCAATGTCATGTGCAAGGACGAGTATGTAATTTTCTTATCACGCCAGAGTGGGAAGAGTCCGCTTATCAATTAGAACGCACCAGATGCTCAAGCGGGGACTCTAGATAGTGTTGCTACATATGGAATACGGACGAGACCCGGCGCTGGATCCGATGTGTAGAGTCATCTGAGAACATCAATTAATATCCACGGAAGGACAAGGCCGACTGATGTGGGCGTTGTTCAAAGATTACAACAAGGCTTGACTTAAAGGATCTTTTGTATTGACCTTCTTTGTAGCCTGAGCATGCATGACACTGAACTTTAACTATTACGTCCTGTTTCTTGATCAAGGTATCACGCTGATGCACTCTAACACCTCGTTCCACTTAGACTGTCGCACATTGGGGGTCTCAACATTTCACCTCTTACAAGATTTCAATCAAAAGCAGATCTGGACCTGACTAGAGCGTTCCAGAGCACCCTAGATTACTTTTCGAATGTAATTTCACTGACGGCAAAAGTCGGTTTCCCCGCTGTGTCGTACATTTCGGTCGAGACACCAGGATATCCCGAGCTAGACTTGATCTCTCTCACACATGATAAACTCGCCAAAAGCACGACCGCGACTTGCCAAGGTTATTCGACCGGAGAGCATTCGACACAAAAGTTGGTGATATTTGCGTTGCAAACCCCACCTATCAGTTTTTCAGTAATAGGTGGATTTACATTCATAGCGTCGAATACCAAACCAAGTTTCGTAAGATCGGGGTGTGATGATGGTAAGGCTACACAGCCACGGAAATATCAGGTCGTGTCTGCCAGAGATTTTATCGTCAATCAATGACATGCGAACAGATGTGAGACAAAGCTCTTGGAACTCTGGAGACTGAAGAATTGCGTGAGGGGATCGAATGTATCAAAGCTGAACACATAAGCGACATCGTCTGACGTCTCAGGTCCGTTCAGCTTGATACACTCTAGACCATCCGAAAGTAGAAGATTATCCCACTTGCGTAGGATGTCGTCCGACAAGAAGAGCAGTTTCAGGTTCCCAGAACCGCAGCTCCAGCGATTTGCATTGAACAACACAACCTTCTACAATTTCTCTGTCCAAGATCAAAGGGACTAATGATTGGATGACTAATTTGCCGAGGCCAAAGGTACGAAATTGAAGCTCGCCGCCGTCCAAACGTTCCGTGACAGCGAATTCCAGTCGTCGGAGGCCAACAAGGCAAGCGTTACCATCCGCAGCTAAGAGGAAGAAGCTCGCTAACTCGAGGAAGCACGATAGGTAGTGCGATGTCATCCAGTTGTAATGCATGTCTGACGAGGTTAGGGCCCAGGAGATAACGCATACATGAATGGACACCATGAGGACATGTTCTACAGGAGAACGCTTAGAGGTCTGGCACCGACAGTTTTGACTGTGAAGAAAACAAGCATCTGTGATTACAGCCCTCCATATGATCTGACAGTGACACCAATGAAAGCACTCGAAACACCGGTAGGACTTGGACATACAATTTGATCAGAAGTCTTGGTCCATGAATCTTGTGGAAGACAAGTGAGGAGCGGGTCCAGATTCTCCAGCTCAGCCCAGAGCACATCCAAAACTATGTCTTTGAATATGCGGCAGACTTGCAGAGAACAGCTAAAGAACTTCGCGACCCTCTTTGGTTAGGTTGAGGGAAGTGATTCCTATGATGCAAACTAGAGTTTATGAAGACACTTTAAACGTCAAAGAAAATGTGTAGAATCTCTGGAATGAGTAGGCAGGCATGCATCATGAGAATGGGTAGGGAATTTAGCGTAAAACTCATGAACTTGTAGATGGAACGGTTGTTGGTGCACAGACTTGCTCGACAAAGTGAATAATCATCGAGTGGCTTTCCTAGTAGCCTTGCAACACTCTTCTCTTCCATGGACTGTATGTCAGACTGGTTCGACTGCAGTGGTAGGCACGAACCTGCCTTATCGTGCTTTCTCCTTCACTTAAACAGATCCCTTGGCTGCTTGTTCCAGTCGTCGCGTGCCAACACCTTGATATGTATGTCTTGTTCAATGTGGAAGTTCAGGGATACCATAAGTCCTGTCACAATCATAGGTCATTGATATACCACAGATTGACTACGTGTCTTTAAACATCTACAAAGGGTTTGAATATTTGTCACAATTACCGCCTTGATGCAAAATATTGCTTGCGGACCCACCTAACTTAAATCACAATTGGCCTCAGTTCGTGAGGAGCGCAGCAACGCTGCCAAGGGCTTGGACATCAAGTAAATTGTCAAAAATTAAATGCCGAGTTGATTTTGGTAAGGAAACTATATTTATTTCACACTCCGTTGGGTGATGAGTACTTGAGTTTGGGTCGAAAAGGACCAAAGTCAACATATGGCTGGTTTTCCCATCTGAGCTGTCACGAGCACTTTTACCGCGTGCACGTCCGCTGGCTATACAGCGTGCGTTGCGTCGCGTTTTTATTGATTTCTCAAGTGATTAATCATCTAGAGTCTATACCGCGATTCTTCATGTCTTTTCTTGCTCTTCTCATCAAACCTTTGGCTTATATCTCTGTTCCTGTTATCGTACTTAGGACAATCGCCTCAGCTTCTCCCGTTGGGCGTTATTATGCTCAACTGACTATTTACCTTGGGACGCTGGCAGTAGTCTCGACATGGGGAGTCTTTGTTGCAGTCGGAATGACGTTGGTGGGTCGCAGGCATGACGTCAACTATGTCGTGGCCCGGTCGTTCTATGCCATTGCTAGTCGTGTTTTGGATATCCAAGTAGAGGTCGAGGGCGAGGAGCATCTTCAGACATGCCCTGTGGTCATGGTGGGTAATCACCAGAGTATGCTTGATATTTTGTATTTGGGAAGGTATGTGTCATTTGCTAAAGAAGCTTATGATGAGTGGTGTGTAACTGACATGGTTCATATTTTGTTCCGCATCGTGCTTGTAGGATGTTCCCCAGGAAGGCGTCCATTATGGCTAAGAAGGAGCTCCAATGGTCACCTCTGGGTCCCTGGATGTTTATGTCGGGTGCTGTGTTTGTAGATCGTGGAAATAGTGCAAGGGCACACGGATCGCTCGCAGCTGCTGGAGATGAGATGAAAGCGAAGGGCATCTCGTTGATGATGTATCCTGAGGGCACACGGCACTGCCAAGAAGTACCATCGTTACTGCCTTTCAAGAAGGGTGCTTTCCACCTCGCTGTCGAAGCTGGAATACCCGTTATACCTGTTGTCTGTGAGAATTACTGGAGAATTTATCGCAAGGGTGTGTTCGGATCGGGCACGATCAGGGTCCGAGGTCAGTAGGCAATTCTTGACTCGTTTCAATCTATGGCCGCTTAATTTCACTGATATTTTACAGTTCTCCCACCAATTCCAACCGCAGGACTCTCTGTATCTGACGTCCCTGAATTGACGACGCTAGTCCGAGATCGGATGTTGGGAGCTTTACGTGAAATCTCCGTCAGGGTCACCTCAGAAGAAGACATGAAACCGGCCGAACAGCCAGAAATGCAAGCTGAATTGCCACCTGTCGAAGAACCGGATCCCATACCGGCTACCCCTGTCGAGGTCGCGTCCGATGAAGTTCCGGATGTGCCAAGCGACGAGGATGGCAGTGAGACTCCGAGCGTTGACACCTCGTTGTCTCGATCGTTGAGGCAAGAAGGAAGCGCCAGCGAATATGGAACGGAGACAGACGATGAGGGGATGGTAGTTGTCGGCAGACAGCACCACTAGTTGAATAAATGACGTGGCAACATAGGTAATATTGCTGGGTTCTGGAACACTTCCAGTGCATGATACCATTCTTGACTCCATTATATAAATGTTCATAATATCGGACCGACTCTGATATACCAATGGATGTATGGTTTCGTGACCCAACCAAGATTTAACCCCACAAAGACCACGGGTTTCCCCGCATTTCTTACCGCGCCCTTTTCGCACAAGCGCCGATTACTAGCGATTACCTAAAAGGTAAAAAGAAGATTTCTTGTCGCGTCACACTCTCATCCTTCCCAGAAGTTCAACATTAACGTTTGAACCCCCTTTGTTTGATACCTGATATATGCATTTTGCAATGCCTGCAAGTTTGGTGTTGTGATAGTTACTATATCTCGAAAATGGTTCAACATTCTTGGTTTGGTTACTTTGAATTCTATAGTAACGTACTAGTCAGCTCGAGCGGTGCGAAATTTCGAAATAATTATTCAAGCCTTCTCTTTATTCGCCGACTTTCATTCGGGTAACGTTTGTTTCCCAGCTGCCACTCATACGAGTGATATATAATCTAAAACAGTTGCCTTTAATACCGCATTCCTTAAAGCCCTTTCCTCTCTTGCCTCTTGAACTTCCTCAATACCCCGTCTCTAGTTCAAACATGACCGCAACTCAAGTCCTACCAGGTAATGACATTCACCAAGTTCGTGATAACGGATCTGGATTGACAATAATGTTTCAGAATGCTGGGGTCATCGAGGAGTGAGTCAAACCATTGAATCATGAGCAACATCACTCGACACTAATAAGCTATCGCAAGGCTTCAGCAGTTTTCCCAGAGAACACCCTCGCTAGCTTTGAAGCCGCCATTAACGATGGGGCAGAAGGCATTGAGAGCGGTATTTAATAACCCTGGCCTGTGTTGGTCTCCATAACCTGTATCCCAGACGTTCATGTGTCGTTGGACGGGGTCGTCATAATGTTCCATGACCCAGGTATGTTGAATATTTCACTCTTTTTTCCAATTCGCTCATCCGATGCTGCGTGCGTTCTACAGATCTGGAGAGGACCACAGGATCAAAAGGTTGTCAGCATCCATTTCAATGCACGTTCGTGGGTTGACCAATGAATGTAGGCTTAATTAGGGACCGGCATTGGTACGGCAAAGATGGAATGGAACACCTCCGTACTATCAAGCAACCTCCACAATGTATCCCCACGTTCGCGCAGACCATCGCTCTTTTGATGAAAGTAAGCCCCCTTATATCCACGGTGTCCGTGCGTTCATCATCCAATCGTTTCGCCCACGTTCTTTGTAGCCCGAGAACCAGCATGTCAAGTTTAACGTTGACGTCAAAGTTCAGAATGATCCTGACCGCCTCTTCTCGCTTATGCATGATGTCATTTCAGCGCAACCTGATTGGCAGACGAAGTTGGCTCCCCGTATTCTGCTGGGCCTTTGGCATCCGCGTTTCGTGGCTTTTGCGAAAGCGAGATTACAATATTGTAGACGCTCACACATTGGTGTGAGCCTTTCGATTGCGCGGAAATATTTCTGGGATGGCGTGGAGGTTTTTTCGATGGGGTTCGCCTCTCTAACCACCTATGATGGCCAGAAGTGAGTTTTATTCTTGTGTCTGAGTGACGGTCCCGTGACAGTACCCAAAGGTTCCGGAATGAGTGCAAGGCTGCGGGTAAGAAGATTATGGTATGGACAGTAAATGAGCCGGAGCACATGATGGAGGTCGGTGACTTTACTTTTACACTGCCACCTCTAGTCTCAAGTTAGGACACAGGCTGTACGATGGGGCATTGATGTCATTCTTACGGATGTGACGAAGAAGTGGCTCGAATTGCGTGCTGCTCTTCAAGGTGAGGAACTCATTTACGTGGCGTGGACAAGTTTATTCAACATGATATTAGTCAATTACGACTCTATCCTGTCTCAGTACAGCCGGTGGTTCCTCTGGACGACCTGGAAGTTTTATCTACCCTCTATTTTGGCAAATAGAGCCGCAAGACTGTACCTTGAAGGCGCTGCAGGTCCATTTGACAATTTTGCACCACCCGAGACGTCTGTGACTGTAGTAGCATGATCAACGGGATCTTGGAGAAGTGATTGCATTATGATTTACCATTGACCATTTTCTAGATGTTGACGGGCCTTAATATTTTGATTACACGTCTATTACTTATTACTTGAGCTGGAGGTATAGAAGCAGATGCATGATTGCACGATTATGTAATTTGATCGATTGGCGTAAGTTTGCGACATGCTTGGTCACGTCAGATGATATCCTTATGTTAATTGTGACTCCACGGGCCGTATTGAAAATCTACATGTGGCAGGGAGACGGTTGCGCCAATTGCGCTGACTCATTGCTATACTTGCCCCTCTGTTCTGATTCCACTTCTCACCCGGCTCCATCAGGCGCTTGTTTGCGTGTCTCTATGCTATTTATCATTCAAATCACCCGGTAGTCATGAACTCATCAAACCACCATCATCAATCTCGCAGAACGCACAGAAAGCGTTCCTCAGTTTCAAGACTGTCGTACGACACAGTACAGACTCTCCCAGAGTACTCAGCTCCGCTCAATCTGAGTAAACTATCCAATTCAGTATTCTTCGCGGGAAACGAGTTTGATAGACCGCCTGACTACCCTGATAGCCAGGAGGACGCAGACGCAGACACGGAGGAAGAGGCTGTGGCCTACGCTCCACAACGTTTTCAGCTCATTCCGCCCCGACGCACGGCACCGCACACACGCAGACGCAAACGCCAGCCAGTCCCTGTGTCAACCGTCGACCCATCCCTCGACGCGCTGCTTGAGCGCAGTGTGCATGCACTTGAGATGTCGAATGCGCTCATGCAGAGCTCAATCTCCACTCAATGCAGCCTTTCGACGTTGCTTTCATCCGAGGTCGGGCCGGATCGTTCTCTCGAAGTTCGTGCGAGGAACCTCTCAACGCGAATCAGATTGAACAGCGGTGTGCATGGGACATGGATGACACATCTGGATGAGATATCGAAAGCTGTGGATAGGTTGTTTGACGAGGAGGTTATAGACATCAGTCCGGTCGAGCCGAACGAAGCCGCGATTAGTCAGAGTCTCCCCATATCAAATATGAGGGATTTGCGGTACAGGAGGAGGCCGTCACTACTGGAGCTCAACGGCTCATGCTCAAGCGCTTCACAACTTCAATTTTCGCTCCCGAAACGTGATTTGCTCGTCGCACCTGCTCCTAGAGCATTCACTCAGTATGTCGAATCAACAGCTGATCCAGGCATGATAATGCTGCCATCCACCCTGGGGTTACGGGCCTCTGCTTCATCGCACTCGGCCGATTGGCAGGATCACAGCTTTGTCGCACAGCACGAGCTACAGTCCTCACAGTCATTACCTGTATTATTGGGACAGCCTCAGGATGTTCCCACCCCAGCATACAATCTCCTTTCCAATATAGTGAAGCGTTCAGAGTCAGCCACACCTCCACCAACTGATCCATCGTCCCCTCGTGCCTTCATATCACGATGTGGTTCAACGAGTACATGCAGCACTGAACGCGGATCGAAGCTGTCTATGTCCCCTTGCTCAGTACGTAGGAAACAAATGTCTCCTGATCGCAATCGCAAGCCAGAGTGTGCATCCCTAGCTTGCTCCACGACGCCTAGACAATCCGTAGCCCCTCTTTCCCGCATAATGACCCCACCCATCGAGGAGCTTTCTACTTCTTCATCAGATTCATCAGACCACCCTACTGGCTACCGCACCGTTCAATCCCTCCGCAAAATCCTTGATGAACAATCATCCTCCACCTCCATCAACTCTCCCCCTCGAAAAGATCCCAAAAAAAGTCGGTCGCCCAATTTCATGCCTGTCACTCCCGCCCCCGCCCCCGTTGCTGGCACGTCCACTGCCACTGCCTCTATATCCCGCCTCTTCACGAAAGGCAGACATTCATCCTCTACGCGTCCCCCTTCCCCACCTACACATTCCTCCCTGAAAGTGCCATCTGTGCCTCCGACACCTCGTTCATCGCCAAGTGCAGGCAGCCTGTCGGAACTGTTTGGAAACGGTGTGGCCAAAGTTCTCGGGAGTGATTGTCCCTCAGGCGTGTCGACGCCCAAGCGCATCAGTTTTGCGGAGCTCCCAGAGTCATATGCAAGCTCACGTGCAGGGTCTTCGAAAATCTCGGAAAAGCGGAAGAACCGAAGCAGAAAACGCAGGGGGAAATACGAAGAAGAGGGTGAGACACTTGGGTGGTTTGGGAGGTTGTTCACTGTGGGGCCTGGGGGCACGAGCTCTGCACGGATCGATGATCATATGGAGGAACGCATGTCACGAGGGTGGGGAAGTCGACCTGGTGGTGGGACGTTAGATGATTGGGCGGTATAGAGTTGATATCGGCGAGAATTGGAGGGATAAGTTATAGGAGTGTGTATGAATATGTCTTTATCTACTTTTAGGTATTATGACCACGCTTTCTGACTTTGTTTGTATTGCTACGTATATTTTTGACGCGTACGCTGACCTTACTTATATTGTTTGGTGGTGTTCACATCGTCTATGCATGTGCCCTCGAGTAACTGTATCCTTGAACCGTCTCGATATGACACTGACTAAAGTGGTCCATCATAAGAAAAGCTGGCATAGAGCATAACAAAAGAATACATAAGGCATATAGTAGCGCAAACTGTCATATATCGTTCGTATCTGCAGTCCAACGAGAAAGGTAACGTACGCCAATTCCCAACCCAACACCACTGATGGATAGTCGCCCCGAATCGCTACAAGAGGGCCCGTCCGTAGGTGACGACAAGGCCACCGATAATCCCAGCAAATGCCATCTGAAGAAACCCATAACCAGCTGATCGCAAGGTCTCTTGACCCGCCAGCCCACTAGGAATGCTGTACATCGACTGGTCAAAGGTCGCGTTGCGCATCACGGGCTGATCTATAGTATTGCAGAACGGTACGTGCTGCATGACTGGAGCTACTGCGTTAGGTTCTGAGTCGCTGAAGTCTGCTGTCATGCCTTGGGCGAAGGCACCCGGCATGCGTTGGGAATGTACCGCGTACTTGAGGTCTTCCTCACGATCGCTGAGAATGACCCACACCGTCTCTTGCGATTTCTCACGCGGGATCTTGGCGAGGTGTGCAGGGGGGGCTTCCATCACACTGAAAAGTTTCCCCTCGCGTTGTGCAGTGCGTTTCACTTTTGGAATGTCTTGACGTGGGACGCGGTACACGCTGTACAGTGGCGTGCCTGCACGGAGGGCCGTGTTAAGGCTTACGTCGGTGATAGGTGACTGCGAGAACGAGGACCATTGGCGGGGAGGCGGCGAGTGAGAGCAGTCCGATGTGTAGGTGTCAACCTGCGGCTCGGGGGATTCCTCCTTGATAGAAAAGTTGGGATAGTAGTACAAAGGATCTGAGCCATCGGCCCAGTCGTCATCTGGATAGTCAGGACTAGGAGAATGCTCCATAGTTGAGGGCGAAATGTTTTCCTTTCCTGACCCATCATCGGACAGAGGTTCTGTAGGTGTGAGAGACACGTCGCGGTGAGCCTTCTCATATCGTCTTTCGTGGGGTGGCGAGACCCAATTAGGGTTTCGCCAGTGCCAGCGGTCGCCAGGTGGAACCTGGAAGCCGTGGAACTCATATGTAGGTGGGGGTGTGTCTGGGGTTGAAAGAAGGTGTGATTTACGCTCAGCAGGCCCAGGGCAGACGAACATGTTGTTCTTCCGCGTATGGCCCGCCATGGTCGACCCGCACTTATGACACATCGGACGCTTCCTTTGTGATGTTCTCTGGGCAAAAACCATTGCTGTACGGCGTGTTCTTGAGTGAAGATTGTTCTTCTGTTCATCATGTTGAGTAAGAAATAGAACGGAATGCGGTTGCAATAAATGCAGGCAGGTCCGACCATAATGAGAATCTTGGATAGACGTCAAGAGGGTAGATGACTCACCGGCTGCTGTGTGATTGTTTTGTTGGCAGCGGGGTACTACAGTCCCACTCCTGAGCTTATAAAAGTTCGCCCAGTGGCGCGCCCTGCACGACATGACGTTTTGCGGGTGGTTCGCAGAACAAGTCCTTGGATTCAGCATGAAGGTCGCGCTGGAGACAAGAGTAGAAGTTCACCGGCAGATGGCAACCTGCAGAAGTGTCTTCGTTTAATCTGTTCAAGTGTACAAGAAGTCCTTGTACTTTTCATAGACGCCACAAAATACATGCCCAAAAAATACAAGACGTTTACCAACCTCACCATATCGACAATATTGTAATGTTCGGATGTTGTATTCTTGGTTATTGATCGGGAGAGCGCCTCAATGGTGATTGCAAGAATACAAAATACGGATCATATCTAAATAACAAACATTCTGAGCAAAAACCGTTGCTGTATGCAAATGGACGCAATGGACCTCAGGGCGCAGATATTGCGACTACACTTTCCCCATCTGTCCTCTCGACCTGACAAAACTCGTATGGGCGCCTCCGAGGTAGACGACTGGTTATAAGGTTCTGCTCCTTTGGTGATGACTTGATATGGATCTCCCCGCCTAGGAGTCTGAGCTGCAGCCACGGCATCCTAACGAATAGAGGTCAGTCGCAAACGAAAAACAAAAATTAAAACACTTACCACAATGTACGCATTCGACAACCGTCCCTGACCGTACCTGTGCTTTCGGCACGCGACAGATACATGTAGAGCCTTGGTAGTTCATATCCTGGAAAAATGAATGAGTAATGTCTCAGCGAATTGAAAGGTGAACAATACCTTGGTCTGGATACATCTGAGGCAGCACAACTTTTCATAACCTGTCTTCTTCCATTTGGCTATCAAGCTGAAGCAATTGACGTTCAGTATATGATAGACTTTGGAGACAACCAATTGACTTACTTCGCATCTGCGTATCCCTCCTTTAAAAGCCAGTCGTAAAGTTCCTTCGTGATAGCTTCACGCTTATAATAGAGCTCATAGATATAACGCGATCGTGTATGTGAGATACGCATGATGGGCCAGAGGGACTCGGCCTTGCGTTTGCCCTCATGAGACTCGTTCTCAGCGTCTCTCATCTTCTTCGCATAATCATCGAGAATCTACGACAATGTCAGAATTGGAAGAGCCTGCTGATTATCATCACCTACGCTCTCAATATCTTCGTAGCCTTCTGGAGGCTTCTTCGTCCTCGTTGTGCGTATTCTGGGCATCGTTAATCACGACGAGGAGGTGAGAGAGACCCGTGAGAACTTTTCTTCGACACCAATTTCTGACAAAGCTTACCATTTAGGGTCTTTTGTTCTTGTTCCTCGTCGACATTGTACGTCTGTGGCTACGTCTTGTTACCTTTCTGGCGTCGGTAGCCCCTACGAAGCTACGATATCGCGTATCCTGTGTCAAAAGAAGTCTTCTCTTCAATCATTCTTCCGTGATCTAGGTCTATCCATGGCGTAAAGACTCGTAAAAGGCGAGCTACTTATATCCCCTTGTAGTCATGATATGTAAGTAAGTATCATTGCTGATTATGTGTTGCTCATTGGCATGCAGAGTGAGTGCTTACTTCTATGTAATAGCTTATCTCTGACCGATGATTCGAGTCTCATTGCCTCGACCTTAGGTTGCCAAAGGTGATCTTCCCATCATGAATCTTAGATTATCCTTGCAGAAACGCGATCCTTCCAACAGCCGAGTATCACATTTGCTCAGTCCTGAAAGCACGGGGATTACAAATGCGGTGAGCACAGACTCCATCTATCGGTTAGACTCATTACCAATGTTATCATGCGTGTCTAACCATGGGCCCCAGCAAATATCGTCCTATATCAAACAAATATCAAGGTTCTTGTATCTAAACCTTCTGAACACAGGTAATTATAGTCCGAGTTTCACCGAAACCAGTATCACTGCATTATTTTTTCCTCTACCTTCTAATCCGCTGTTCGATAGAACAAAACCACTAGGCTAGTAAGATGTCCCTTGAAAGTACTCAAAGCGGTGCCCTATGATCTGGGTCTGGTCTCGTGAGTTCGCTGGGATGCCGGCCACCCACATTGCGCATTTACCACAGCTGCTTCAGTGGAAAGTATGTTCAGAATATATCCGCATTCCTTTCGGAGCACAGATGCGGCTCCAATTTGGTCTCGGTCTTCTCGTTCTTTTGCTCGGTTGCGAACAGGATGGTACTATCTACGATAAGACGACGTAGCGAGCGAGCGCCTTTCATCAACTGCACCTCACATTGGCCGACTTGGGCGTGCCCGTACTTGCACAGATGTATCACTCGATGTTCTGGCTACGTAGCCTATAATGTTCACATTCCCCCTTCGCGGCGTGTTCGTATACTTTTCGTAGTTCTCTTATTATGGCTTGCTGCGAGGCCATGGAACATACTGTGTGATCTGACGAATGCATGCGCTTTAGATGGCTTCTGGACCTTGTCACGCACATAAAAATGAAAATTAGTACTGAACAGAGATGATCAGCTGCCTCGTTTATAACTATACTCCGCTCCGTTGGTTATGTAAGGCGGTGCCAGACACGATGGGTGTGGGAGGCGCGTCCATGTTGCGTCCATGAATGCACAAGGTTACTTCAACAACGTCGACCACTACATCCATCAGGCAGCGCAGCGAACCCATCCCGACCCAGTTTTAAGAGTTTTCTGCTCTGCTTTCTGACGCGCCTTGCGTTTTAGACATATCTGTTGGGTGCTTTTTCGGCTCTGCTTTCAACATGCCACTCGTCGTTCCTGCTCTCCGTTTGTTCATGGTTTTTATGAATGTGTATGACACGTACAAGACTCTCAAAATACCACCTGGACGCAAGGGTGGTCCCCCTAGCATCAGGGCAATGACTCAGAGAAAGAGGGACCTCAAAGGGTGTCTCGCAGTTTGGGTTGTTTGGGTAAGGCATTGCTAGTATGTTATTCGTAGCCTACGTAGCATGCTCATGCTGTCGTGCTGTAGTGCTGTCTTGCAGCATATGAGAGAACGTTTGACCGTTTTGTCAGCTTCATTGTACCGTTCTACAGTGAAATCAAGTCAGTTACGCTACTGTTTCTCCTGCTGACCCGTGCTAAGGTAGGACGTCAATAACCTCTCCATACGAGCGAAGCTAACGCCTTATTCACGCAGGGAGCTGAACCTCTGTATTTGCATATTCTGCGCCCACTTATCAAACCATATGTGGACACCCTGGACCCATTGCTTGATCTAGCAAGGGACATTGGAGATTTTCTGTTTGCTCTCTCACAAGTACCGCTCAATTATGTACTCTCTCTATGCTCCGGTCTTCCTTGGCACACGGAAGAAAATGAGTCAGCCGCCGACCTCACAGAAAACACCCCCGAGTTGAGCACGACACGCTCTAGCAGTGACTCGAATATACCTATTGTGACTAAAATACACGCTACTGTGGATTCAGATCCCCGGGTCGCGGCAAAGCGCTCAGTCGCTGTCCGCAGTGTCTCCAATAATAGGGTACGACCGAAGTCCCGTCAACCTCCCGTTGATTCCTATGAGAGCATGTCGCTCCGCATGCGACATTCCAAGTCGTCCTCAATCACAACCCTCCCACACTATCCCAACGATACAGTTGGTCGTATTCATGCGCGTCCCACAACAAGCAATACTAGAACAGCTGCATACGAGATTTGGTGTCCCCCGCCGCCTGCGTACGAAGAGGAACACAGACGAAGCCGTTCGTCTATTGGACGGTCGGAAATAGCCAATGTATCCACTCCCAATTTGGCGACCCCTCCACCTACAGTTATTGTCAGCGAACCGGTTGACGAAGACTGGAGAGGGTACCCACCTTTTCCTTCGGCATACCCACCGACGCCCTTGACTGCATCTCATTCTCTTTCTGGAGCCATGCCATCCGGACGGGATAATTCGATCTACTCACCTTCTACCCAGACCACTGTAGTTTCGCCCATTTCGGAGAATACATTGATGGACCGTAACCAGGTTTTTGATGTATCGCTCCAGCAAGCGCATGAGCCCGCGAGCCCTGGTTCTCGCAGCTTACAAGTTCACCCTAGTATAGATGGGTCCCAATCATCCGGTGGTGCAGGCAACCTGGATGAGGATGAGGATGCGTATAGAGATGACGACGATGACGATTTTAATGTCACTTTACGGACTCCTTATCGCTCATTCCCGTCGTCAGTTGCATCGAACGCGTCTTCCTCTGTGGCGAGCCTTCCAAGTGCTTTGACCACTAACGATAACGAGTCGTCCCTGCATACCAGCAGCTCATCGGAGTCCACGCGTTCCTTTCATACATCTGATTCGTCGCATTATGCAGGACAAAAACGCCCATACCCGACTGTTACCGCGACAAGTCGAGCTGCAGCTGTTGGCACTATACCCAAGAATGCTGCCATGCGTGGCAAGGCTACTACTACTGCCCCGTCTTACGGAAACGACCTTGACTCTGACCCCAGCGAAACTGATGATGACGTTGATAGCAGTGATGGTGAAGATAGTGCAGCCAAGAGGAGAAAAGTTCTTGAGCCTACGCGGCGAACCACATATCTGCGTCCTACTGCCAAGCCCACTACAAACGTCCGCAAGCCTTCATTGACTACCAGAAACTTCCCGGCATCCTCCCGCGGGAAAATTAGTGCTCCTGCACCCAAAACTGGTACTCGCGGTGGTTCACGTGCTGCACCCCAGACGGTAGGAGTAGCTTCCCGTGGAGATACCTTGCGCGGACAGACACGAAGAAGCGCCTCAAAATTGCCGTCGCAAGACGCTGGGACCTATCCTCGCACAGTTACCTCACGAAACAAGGCTTGATGTCAGTTTCATGACTCCAGATTTAATGCACTCTCTTTCTGAGGTCCCTTTCATCCACATTATCGTTCACTGTAAACAAACCATGTTGCTTAGTACATACACATTCTGTTGCATTCAAATCGTCGTTCGAGTATCAGAAGGTCTTGGTCCCGGCATTCATTTGATGTGGTCTTGCTAGTAGCGTTTGCATTTGTTGGAGAGCTCGACTTAATATGCCCTCTGTTGACTTATTTGCAATTTAAATCCTCTGACTCTGTTACCCGCATTCTTTGCAATGTATGCAAGGGAAATGTATACCATCACTAGAATTCGTTCGAGCGAGTGCAACCCTCGCACCCCCATGGCAACGTTCTCCAACAAGGTAACTCGCTACCCGAACAACAAAGTTCTTGCCGACTGCTGCCTTCTCTTTTGTGACCCGGTCAAACACTCAAAGTATGAAGCATGGAGTAGTATTTCTGAAACTTGCTCGCGGGCAGTCGCCACATATATGCATGCATCTGATATCTACCATCAACTGCCAACTCGATCACTGCCGCAGAGCACCACTGCGATCGAACCGGAATCGAAACTTCTTGAGCATTTCTCGCTTTTTCTGCAGCGATGACTCAAGCATGAACCGCCTTGAACATGCAGTAACCTCGAGGCAAGAGTCATTGCATTGTTCGATGGAATATCTGACGCTGGCGCCTACATGCGCACACTGGCGCAAACTCGTTAGATACTACGGTAAATATATCTCAGCCGCAAAATACTAATCGGCCCACTAGCACAGCACAAGCGGTTTTCTACGTCAGTAAGGCTGCACACTGGCAGGCGCAGCGGTGCAAGCGTCCCGTCGCTTAGGTCTCTAAAACGGTCTCACTAGATGTGCGAACATGTTTACTGACGCTGGTGAACACGTTTTTTCCTGCACGCGCACCCCGTAATAACGTACTCGTGCACTAAGTGTTGGTCAATCGGTAGCGGGCTGTACTTTGACGAACTTCGTTATAAGACCCTGTGCAACTCAGATAAAATGGACTGCATACCCTGGGGTGGTTCACATTCTTCCAGGCTTTCATATCTCGCGATACCTCATGGATGTCCGTGAAAATTGTCTGGGCCGTGTCATAGGTTGCGAACTCCGCTGTATACCACCCAGATATGTAAGTCATTTACAACTTGATATTTGTTCTCGTTCAAGTCTAATAGTTCCTCTCCACAGCTCAAATCGTGTTGGGGGCTGAAGTGGTGCCCCAAATTTTATGCTCGAGGACCAAGCGAATTCGACGTTGGGGTTTTAACACCGGATGGAAAATACAACTCCCTAAAGACTGATGGTCCCTTGGCTATGGAGCATAGAGCTCAGGATAGCATTGCGAATTTGAAACCGTCTCCAAGCTTGCCCAGCACTATCTATGATGCTGATGGTTGGCTAGGATCAAGGAGACGCGAACCGCCTTCTTCACCATCCTGGCACTTCAGTGTGCCCCCATCTCCTGCTCATATTATACACGAGAGAACACAAGATCAACCTGATTTTATACGTTCTCCTGCCCATTCCTCAACGCCTCTGATTGCGCCAGGAGGGACGGAGAGACCGTCTCGGCTACCCATACCTATCCCTGGATCAAGAACTACGTTGTTGTCGATCCAGCCCTTCTCAGAGCCTTATACGTCAGAGCTCTCGTATGCTCTACTTCCGGGACATTCGTCGCACCCATCGCAGAGCTGTGGTACTCCAACAGTTGGGGAACCCCTGCATTTGCATTATTTAAGCCCCAAAGTTACGCTTGCTGTATCGCAGGATCCAGCTGCCCTGCTGTATGATGTAGCGCCAGAGACTGACGCCTCTCCAGAGCACCTGGTCTCAGATCCAGGAGACGCGCAGGAACAATATCTCCCCCTGGACAGCATCCATGCCCATTCCACACTACAGGTTCACCTCATGACTCCCACTATGCAAACTCTGCAAGCAACTTTGTTGGATTCATGGAACAACCTAGATTTCTCTCCTGCATCGACGACTCCGATGTCATGTTCAACGTCGTTCAGCACTGACTCTAGTTTGATTGGAGAGTTCGAACACCATCATGGTCCAGGAGTTGCAACTTCAATGCCGGAATTGATGGGATTGGGCTGGGAAAATTCGACGCAATCCAATGACCAGTTGGAGGCAGGGATGACGGACGAGGATTGGCAGCTACATCGGACTTTCACGCGTTCCTCGCCGATGCATCAGTCGAGAGGGCTATCTCCTATTGATATGAGTGTGGATGAGCTGCCAGGCACCGGTGATGGAGAGGAGGCAGCGTACAATCTTTCCGGCACCTTCCTCTTCTCCAGCGCCTTTCATGATGCTTTCGCTTGCTGAAGGCCGCTGGGCAGCTGCTCAGATAGGCTGCTGTCCAACACATTCATCTTTCTATTTCCGCTATTCCAACAACCTGGCAAACATGATGCGCCCTCGTGGTACTGCGCTATGTTGGCGTGTTGTTCGACAGGCATGGTTGGTTATGTCCGCCAGTCCACGAACACAGGCAAAGCAAAACAATGCGCCCCTAGCTTCTGAGGACGATGGTGTTGCCAGAAGCGCGCAGGTGTATATTCATTTAATACAAGGACATCATACCCATATATTTTACTCGCATAATTGTCATATAAATGTTTGTTACTTCAGATCAATTTGGCATATATGGCGGGTGTTGTGATTCCATATTCAATATTGGTGTCTTGACAAGTCACACCACGCCACACACTGCAGGCTGCCCAGCCTTGGCGTCGAAATTTCAAATCCAGCATTTCTAGCCACTTAAGGCTAGCAAACATTGCATTTACTACTTCCTTTCGGTTCATAGACCGACCATGTCCCACAAACTGCCAGAGCAGTTGAGTGTCAATCCTGAACTACCTCCTCCAGCATATTCTGCCCATCCACATAACTTGGGACCGTCAGGGCAAGTGCAAGGACCAAGTTCTCCCGGGCCCCATGAACGAATTCCTGGAGCTTACCCTCACCACGCCTCGTCTTTTTTCGGCTCAAACGCTACACCGTCATTTATACCACCACCACATTTTGGGCCTACTCCTCTATTACACTCTGACCCTACCCTAGGGCTGCTACCATATTATGACCTGCGTTCTCCGTACGCTATTGCAGAAGCCACATCGCGTGCACGGTGGCGTTTCATTTGTGCTTCTCTGTGGGCCACCGGTATCGTCATGTGGTTGGTCGCGGTCGGTGCATTTGGAGGACTGCGAGATATATAGCCGCCTAGCGTGGCTTCTGTAGTAAGTGTGACCATCTTAATTGTTGTCTGCTAAATCACGGGAAATTCAGCCTTTTCATGTGAACAATATATATACGAAGCTTATTTTGGCCGGCACGCGTATATTTCTCCATGTATGATTCATGGTTCTGTCCATGTTTTACTGTCTTCTTTAGACAAAGGCTGATCATCATCCTCATTTGTAGATGCTCTATGTAAACATAATGTATTTCGTACAATACCCATGGCATTTTTACTGCACGCTGTGCATTTCTTCTCTTTGGGGACGACTCACTCGGTTCCCCGGAGCAATGCAGAATCCTGATTCCCTATGCTAACTTCTGTCAGTGCCCGAGCTTAGGGTTTAACATGTGCGTGCGCAAGGTTGAACTTTAATTTCAGTGTCATCCTTGTGCGTCTGGCGACAATTTAATTCATCCTGCGGGACTAGGACGACAGGACGGGACTCGTGGCAGGATGGCCTAAATAATGCCAGTGGTCACTGGGGGGACAACATTTTTTCTGACCAGTGTTTACGGCACCAAGTGCTGATAAGCCCTGTCAAGAAAGATTGCCATTGTGCGTCGAGCCCGAGACACCTCATAAAATGAACATATTAATAGACGATGTCTCAAAACCAAAAGATGAAGTGTATGTGTGACTCTGATGCTCTTGTTTATATGCTTGTCGATACAATATTTTTTCGGGCATACAGCACAATATTGGCAGGTATAGATCAAACGCCCGCAATTGCTCCGCTGAGCGCATGGTTACCAGCGCCAATAGACCTGAAGATGAACAGAATATCCGAATTTTATAATATTAGTTTACGAGGAAATAAAAGAATTGTCACCGTGTCGACCACGTCCGCATGCAGCTAGATTCAGTTTCGACCCTTTCGTCGGGGACTCCATGGGGTGGTGTTACCAAACGACACCCACCTTTCAGCCAGACGACGACTTAATCGAGGGAATTACATCTTGTCCACGACTCGGACTTGCCTCAGCTTCAACAACCAACCTGGAGGTCAGCTCGACAATATTTACACATTGGTAGAGCCAATACATTGTCAACCATCCTTCAAAGCTTCATTCTCCTCTGCCTTCTCTCCTACTCATTCAAAAACCACTTATTGTGCGAGGAGATGGTCTGTGCGTTTGTTGAATGGAGGGTGTGTGCGTGTGAAAGAATTAAGGTTAGGGTCTGTGCGTGGGAGAACGTGTGACTTTCGTGACCCAGATAATTGGTGGTGTTAATTTTTTTCGGTTTTGAATTCTGGGTCGGCCCCGCGCGCTTCCTTTTGTTCCTTCACACTTTGACAACCTCGATCGCACCTTCCACGTCGATAACCACAGCGACAAGACACTCTTCCTCACCGTCCGCGGCGACGACCTAATCACACCGCTCGTCGTCTGCCACCTTTTCGTGCGCTTCATTTGCTGTCACTTCGTTGCCCGCTCAGTGTTGACCTCTTTTATTTATCTACTCCCACGCGCCGCGCACGTCGACCGCTATTGCTCATCGCTGTCACATTCATCGCTGACGCCATCTACCCTATCTCTATCATTCGCAATCGCTCATAGCCCATAACACACCTCTCTGTCAGTTTGTTTTTCGATTGTAGCCATATCAGCAATCACTGTCTCGCGCTACCTCCCACGATCGTCCGTACCACATTCATAACATTATACGGCTGTTGATGTCCAATTTCTAGTCTTAGCCATCCCACATACTTGTCTGTAATCACCCCGCGCACCATCCTACCAATCTGGCGTCCATAGTTCCCACTCCTCCGCCCATCCAAAGGCTCGAAGAGGACCTCATTAATCGTTCATTGCTCGACTCTCTCGAAGCCCAAGGAGACGCAGAACCCATTCATCCATCTCCGCAACCTGCCATGTCTCACTCAAACTCCAACTCTGGTTCAGGAGCACCATCTCCTGAAACGCAGTTTCATATCCCACCTGTGAATAGGCCTGATTCCCCCAGCAATATCGATTTCAATCCCAACCACGAGAATGATCGTTTTCTCCGCACTTCCCTTCTTCAGCAACACATTGATGATAATCATCATCGAAATTCGGAGTCACTGTTCTCTCACGGTGGAGTTCAATCCATGTATAACACATCCAATAATTTCCATCTCCCAGAGTACCTCTCAGATGACATCTCCCTCAAGCAGAGTATTGCCGGGAGTAAGTCTCCAAACGACTTTGGCGCTGGGTCGTTAAGGTCGTCTTTGAGCGCTTATAACGGAATCAGTGGTGGCAATGCTTCCAGTGCTGGTGCCACCGGCTCATATCGCTTGCGTCAACCAGACGGTCTCCCCTCACAACCTTATTCAAACACAAACGAGCTATTTGGGTCTCATCAGCCCTTAAATTTGCAGCACCAACTCTCTCAGCAATCTCAGCAGAGTACGTCCAGGTCTGCCGCATTCGAGTCACGTAGCGGGTATGACTTCGGAACCAACTCACCGCTAGGAGGTAGTAAGGTTCCCCAACAATTCTCTTCCTTGGATCCCTTCCTCCAAGCGCACTCCTCTAAGGGCCAACAACAGTCGCAGGTCCACGACGCTTATCATCCACTGTCGCACAGTAACTCTGGTTCCCAGATACCTTACCTGAACGGCATGCACCTTCAAAGCCAGACGCCTTATGGTCCTCACTTACAGTCTAACGGTGGTGTTGCAGCAGTATCAGCAGGCAATGCAAGGCCCATCGGTAGTGTAGGGCAGATGAATTTAAGCGTCGAATCGCAGAGTGTCAATAGTGGACTACCAGAAGAGATTTCGACCATTTTTGTGGTTGGATTTCCTGACGACATGCAGGTCTGTACTGAGTCATTTATGACGTCCCGCAACTTCTGACAGCTAGTGTGTAGGAGCGTGAATTCCAGAACATGTTTACGTTCTCCTCCGGCTTTGAAGCTGCCACCCTTAAGATCCCAAACAAGGAGTATACGGCGTACGGGTCGGTCGGTGGTACGACTTCGACCACTCCATCTGGTCTCCCTCTCCGTGGAGGTGCCTATGCCGGTTATCTAGGCGCTGGTTCCAATGATCCTTACAATGTTGTCACCGTTAATCAAGGAGGGGTTGTGATTGACAATGGACGAGATGGCCCAACGACCTCCTGGCCACCCCTCGCCATGGCACTAGACGAGCCTTCGCACTTCCAAGTGGGACAAGGGCTAGGTGGCCAGCCACCCCGAAAGCAGATCATAGGTTTTGCCAAGTTTCGTACTCGTCAGGAGGCGCTTGAGGCAAGAGACCTACTTCAGGGCCGCCGCGTCGACATCGAGAAAGGCGCAATTCTGAAGGCAGAAATGGCGAAGAAGAACTTGCACACCAAGCGAGGCGTTGGCATGGGTGCCACGACATCCGGAGGTGGCGGAAGCGTTTCTCTTGGTAATGGTATGGGGACTATCGGAGGGTTGAGTGCAAGCGGAGGTATAGGCTCGCTTAGTGGTCTTGGAAGCAATGCCGATATCATTGCTAATCTCGCCAACAATCTCAATTTGAACAACCTGGCTACACTTACCGGCAACAACTCTGAAATCCTCTCCCCGCGCGAGAGGGAGTTAAACTCGGTGGGGCTGGGCGGGTCTGGCTGGCGTGAGGGAAGGCTCGGGGATAGCAGTGAGGATGAGCGCGAGAACAGCATCCGTGACAGGCGCAGGGAGGCGCTTGGCCTTGGCCTTGGTTTGATGCGCGGTGCTCGTGAACGCGCTCAGGCTGATGAAGAAGAGAGGGTCAGGCGCAGCAATGACCTCAAGCAGTTCCAGACTGACGCTTCTCGAATGTTGCCTGGAAATACTCCCGCTTTTGAACCTTTCCATTCGGTCTCCGCCCCCACTTTATCCCGTCATCCTCAGAGTGGTCTCCTTTCCCCTACAGGTGGGTCGATGTCCATTTCTGGGCTAACAGAAGGTGGAAGCAGCGGTCACAGCCCACTTATGGGAAATGGATATGGTAATATTATCGCTCAAACCGGCCGGGATGGCTCCAGCAATGTAACTCCTGATCACAATGGTCTTCGCGAGTCCCGAAGTATCGGACCTTGGGATGCGCCTTCTCCGCGTGAGAGGGAGGCATCCGGCATTCCGCAAACCCTTTCGTCACTGTATGCAGCTCGGAAGTCCTCCATGGTACCAGTTCGACCGCCATCCCCTCAGGACGAGTCTCCTCCTCTTTCCCACTCAGCCTTCTCACCAAGCGATGAGGACGACATGATGCTTCCACCGCACCGTTCTGGCGCGTTGCGCTCGCTTTATCCCCTATCTTCCCAATTGGAAGAGTCGTTACACCTGCAGAGCCAGTCTCAGTCGATGGCACCTGGCAGCGCTACGTCAAGCTCCGCCGGAGGGTTTGAGGGTGACAGGCCAGTTCTCCTTGCAGTTAGTACCAGTACACAACCGAGTTCGGGCAGTGCTGGTATCGGCTCACCTCAGCTTGCATCGCCTTCTTCCCAGTCGGGATCGGCAAGTTCGTCTACTGGATTGAATGGAGGAGGTAGTGCAACCAGTGCGGGCAACGCTGTCGGTGCAGGACCGAGGAATGTTGTTGTCGACCAGAACCCGCCTATCAATACCTTGTACGTGGGCAACCTTCCGACAGGGTCCGTTGGCAGTGGTTACCCTGCAGGGTTTCTGGAGGACAGTCTGAGGGAACTTTTCTCTCGGCGCCCGGGGTATAGGAAGTTATGCTTTAGGCAAAAAAGCAACGGCCCAATGTGCTTCGTTGAGGTAAGTGTGTGTACTTGTGGTCACGGTACAACTACTCATTCAAGACCTATGCAGTTTGACGATGTACATTTTGCCACGAAAGCTCTCAATGAACTGTATGGTAACACTCTCGGTGGTATCGTCAAGAATGGTGGTATCCGCTTGTCATACAGCAAGAACCCATTGGGCGTACGCACACCAACTAGTGCTGGTACCGGCGCATCCTTGGTTCAACAACAGCAAGGCAACGTTCACTCTGGTGTTGCATCTCCCTTCCCCCCTGAGTCATTCCAACTTCGCCACCCCTTCGACGTCGACGCGTCTATAGGGATGAGACGCGATAGCTCGAACCCGACAGCTCTATCCGGGGCGTATAGCTACTCAAGATCACCGCCCCCTCCACGGTTTTTCTCACCTCCTCCGTCATCAACAAACTTCGGTATCGCACCCGTGCCGTCCGTCAGCAATGCGAACGCCTTCCCTCGTGGTTCACAAGCCTTTGGACTACCTTCACCTAATGGCGTACCATCAACTTTTTCGCCATTCGGTCTCCCACTTTCGTCGCCTCGTTCGCGCGCGAATGGTCTCCCTCCATCGCATGCCTTGATACCCGATCAGAGCTCAGAAGGTTCCCTGGCTCACGATCACCCGCAGCATTTCCCGCATCGCGCTTTGTCGCCTTCATCGACCACACTAGAGGCCGCTAGGGCCGGTTAAAGGGACGAACTTAAATTCCCTCGTATTCTCACAGTCCGCATGCAAGCATCTACAGCACAAATCTGCAAGTTATATATATATCTGTACTTACCACTCCACGACATGATTGACATCCCTCCATTTCTCATTGATCGCATGGTTTTCCCCAGAGCCCACTTTTTCGGACTGTCAACTTCGCCGTCGCCTCCAATTTTTTATTTTTCCCCGTTTCGCAACCATTAATCGCAATCCTCCATTCTACATACTCACAATCGGGCTGTTTTCTTCTTCGTCTCTGCGTTCGTATCATTCGCTCCCACAGATTCAACTATCCTATTGCTCGCACGTCAACCTGCTGATATCTCTACTATACTAGTTTACCACTTGTTGTTTTAGGTACCTTCGAGTTCTTGTCCCTGCATTGACTCGTGGCTTGCATTTCGCGTTCATCTCATATCTCGATTCCGCATACCACCTGTTTTCTGAACTTCGGGTTACCGCCCAGCATTTTCTCGACATTCTCATCTACACGCGTTCCATACGCACGTTATGTATACTACTGTGAATGGTTTGATGCTGCTGGATTGTCAGAAATATAATTCGTCTAAACACGTGCGGATTTATTCACTGGTTTGGACCTACTTGAGAACGAATATCACCTGCAGTTGAACGTTGAACGGGCCATCATGGATACCGACTTCGACGAAACATATGTTCTACTTCTCCTCGCAGACTCTAATCTACCCACAGGCTCATTCGTCGCATCCTCTGGGTTCGAGTCCTATGAAACGCATGGATTCTTATCTCTTCCATCCACATCAAATGCGGGAAAGGGAAGAGCAGCTACGGCGGGCACAGTCGCCTTCATTCAAGACAGCCTGCATACCTACGCCCGAAGTGCTCTTCCATTTGCTTCAGATGCCCATCGCGCAGTAGATGCATTCAAGAATCTCAAGGGCGAGCCAGACATCGGCCATGACGCTACAATCAAGAAATTGCTTGAGCTGGACGAGCTGTACGACACCATGACACTCAATCATGTAGCTAAGCGCGCCTCGAAAGCCCAGGGGGTAGCACTCCTCACACTATACACAAAAGGGTTTGCTCGCCCTTCAGGCCCCAGTGATGAAGACCATCTCTCAAAGAGCTTGACCGTCCTTATCGATCGTCTGAAATTGATGGTTCGCGGAGAAGAGACGCATGGCCATCTACCCATGTGCTGGGGCGTGCTGACCAGTGTTCTTGGGATATCACTTTGTATGTTTGATATTCGAATCCTCGATATGAAATTATAATTGTTTTTAGTGCGAGCGCAGCACCTTTTTCTATTTCTCCATGCACGTTCACTTCTCTCCTCAGCAGTTCGTTTGAATACGATAGGACCCTACAGTTCTCAGCAACTTTTGCTCCACTCAGTGAGACCGCTGGTCGAGGAGGAAGTGTCACATAATAAGGATATGCATACCGGAATTTTGATGGACATGCATCACAATGATGCAGATAATCACCCTGCTACGACATGGCCCCTTGGCGAAATTCTCGCTGTTCGACATGATTTACAGCACTCGAGAATATTTAATAGCTGATGAGAACTGTACGTCGCTTTTTAAACTTGGTGGAAGATGAATTTCCCTTATACAGCTACCTGCATGACTGCGCGAATCAGGGAGAAAGGGGAGCACAGGCACTGCGAGATCTTACTCTGTCAATGGATCATCAATAGTCTGTCGGAAATCCTTAGGCTCTAGTTGGGCGCACGTTGAAAACCAAGCACTTTGCTACCCTTGAACACACACTCTCGCTGTGAACTCCCCTCCTCAGTTGACGATACATACAAGCCATGCCTCATTCGGACGATGTGAATCCATCATTCCAGCGATTGTTGTTGATAATCTCTTCTCACTATGATTTTGTTGCTGCATTACACTCAAGTAGCAGTGAAATTTGTCCTACAGTAACCCAACTCGAGAGTTGTACGCACAACAGAATTTAGTGACTCAATAACTTTGTGTACGTACCCTGCGTGCTGCATTCGCATCATCCCTTGGTAATTGATTCTCGTGTGCACTCTTGTGTATTTTGTCAAGGCTGAATACAGGTTGTTAAGCTGAGGGAGGATGTTATGATATAACTGATGCTATTCTGGATCTATGTAGAGACTCCCAATCAGTTGTCCCACTTCCTGTATCATATACATCTTGGCACTAAATTTTGGTCAAGACTTTGTTGCTTAGGATTCATGAACGTTAGCCATAGGTAAACCAACTATAATGGTAGTCTCGATTCCAGATTCTTTGACAGGTAAAGCTGCAGTCAGCTTAAAAGATACACGGGACATCCAAGCTTGGACAACATCCCTAATGAGATTGTTCGCCTTCATGGTTCAGTGAACACTGGAGACGTACATCTGGCATCGCCAGGGCAAATTCAAAGGTCCAATCCACCTCAATAAAAATCAATTCTAATCACCCCTTCGTGCGAAAAAAGATGGTGACTGCATCATCTTCTGAAGCAACTACACACCAACTTGGGTTACCGAAAGCGGCTGTTCTACACAGGATTGTGAGGATGACTGGTACAGCAGACTACAGTGCACTGATACAAGCCACCCATTTTTCGCGGATGGAACCTTGGAATATCGGAAGAAGGGGGGATTTAAGCTAGGTAATCACATAAATGGCTTCAATCGCAATCGAAACCAGGAATACGCACCGTTATGCTGCGGTGGTCAACGCCAATCTTGCAGAAACTTCGGCTTGGCTTCGGACCAAGTTTGCGAGGTATGTTACCATCAGAGTGTCCTGTAGTCCTGCGGTCCAACCGCCATCTTCCTCTACGCCGGTACCCAATACGTCCATAAGATACCTCCCTACAGCCTTGTCCCCTACAACCTCACCGCGCAAGACAGATTGCACATAGGCAAGTACTCTGTTGAGCATGTTTTGCACGTCTGTCAATGAGGATGCAAGAACATCGAGGTCGGTTTGGTTGGATAACGGGTTAGGAGACAACAGCAGGTCGACTAAGCAAGAAATTCAATCGATGGCGTGTTGGTACACCTGATAGACTTTAACTCACGGCCACTGCGTTCTGCTTCATGGAAGCGAAGTTCGCAAGGGATTGGAACAAATACACAATTTTCGGGTTTGGGGAAGATCCCAACCGGTGAGCTAGATTGGTTGAAATAAGATCAAGGAAACCGCATGAACTAGAAGCTATAGCACGTACCTTACGTATGCCTTCACTCCAGCACTCTTTCCCTCCTCAGTTCCAGTATCAAGGGCAACGTGTACCGCTTGATTTGGTGCGGTCTCTTGGGAGTAGAAATTTTGAATTAAGGCAGAGTATGTGTTTAGGTCGGAGCCAGTTGAGTACCACCCTACGATGGTCTCATTGGGCCTAACACGAATGCAGAGGTCGTACATGGCACGGTGGTAGTCCATGTCTACTGCAACCTGCTCATCGGTCTCCGAATGGAGGACAGCAAATGCAGACTTGATGTCAACGGTCGAGTCTGTGCGTGTACCAAGAAGGGTACCAATTACACGATGTTGAGCATCTGTTCGCCGAAGGTAGTGGTCAAGGATCGAGAAGAGCGCGGACGGATGAATCGTTAGTGAAGTTGGGCGCGTCCTAGCAGTTCATGAGACCAACTGCATCATATGGCAAGTTTTGAATGAACTCACGAAGGTACACCATTTGTACTTGTGGAAGAATTCTGTATATACGCCGCTGATGAGGATGAGCGTATAGGCATTTTCAGAGATAATAAGTGGCTAATCTCGCTGCAGTGATCAAAAAGTCGTCGGAGTTGCAAATGAAGGGACTTGCCTTTTTCGTGGGTCCTTGAAGTTTCTTAGTTCGCACCGTCCATCAAACATTTGCAGAAAATGCCCTCCGAAGAGACCAAGGTACGACTAATGTTCATATGGTTGCCGTGTCCAATACTTATTGTGCTACGCAGGAACGTATCACGAAACTAGTGGAGGTTGGCCGCGTACGTTGGTTCACACCCGCGCTGAACATGATTACTGACTCTCTGCAGACTCTGGTGCACTATGGCTGGATACCACTCATCATTTACATTGGCTATACTCGGAGCACGCCTCAGCCCACCCTTATTAAGTGCGTTGTCTCAGTGCCTCTCGTTGGCCTCGGAAATTTTTAACACATTGAACTAGGCTCATAAGCCCACTCGCATAAGGAATTACTACTTGCATGCGAACTTCCAGCTGTATTTTATAATTCAGTCTACTTAAAAAAAGTCAACTCTCTACTCAGTGATCAGGTGCTGCTGGGGGTTTGAGGTTTCATTCATCAATCCTGAGTGGTCTATCATGTGATGCCGATGGAACGTGTTTGTCGACTTAGGTAAGTTTTCCCCTACCTCCCTTTCACTTGCCAGGATTATACTCCGTGGTGGTTCTCCATGCGAGGGCCCTGAATTTCCTCCGCTTGTAACCGTTTAACTTGAACTGGTTTATTCTGTGGTACATGTCGATGGTATTAGGCCAGATATGAGCATTATGCGCGCGACTCTTTTGAAGAGCTGAAGGCTGACCACGATGCTTACTTACAGGAATAAACGAGATAGTGTGTCATGCAAAATACAATGCGATATACTATATTTTAAGGTATCAAAAGCAAGATAAAGTCCGCAACGTCACATATACACCCTTCTCAGCTCTGCGGCGCTGGTAATTCGTTGGCACATGGGGCAGAGTTTGGTTGCCCCCAGACAACGAAGCCAGCATTCACGACAACATGTGTGCCAACATCCTGTTGACACCGTTGGCTCGGTATAGTGTGAAAGGCAGATACGGCACAGGTTGGGTGAAGATGTTGAGCCAGTGTTAGATTCCTATGATCGACTATTAGTCCGGGGTGTATATCAACTATGCCTTGAACTTACCAGAGCCTGCAACTTGTTTTCCAGAGCCAGGATAAGTGCACTAGGGTCATTTCGTGAGCGCGCAGTGATAATGTCGAGGTCGAGCTGGTCCATCCCGATCGGTTGGATAACATTGTTCTCTATACTATCTGCCCGCTTCAATAAGACCTTGCCCTCGACTACCAGATGTCTGAGCGTCTGTCGTTCCTGGACAGTTACTAGATGACCATCTGTGTCGACATCGATATCTTCATTCTCAGCGTGCAAATCTCGGTCACTTGAAGGCAAAGCCAGGACATCAGCCTCGCCAAACTGTGCCTCTCCGAACACTGCTTCATCCTCGCCATCTATGTCCACTTCATCCTCGACGTCCAGTGAATTAGACGTTCGAACATGGATACCAGTGCCTGCCCATAGAGTCAGCGATAATTTATGTTGTGTTGTGACTTCCGTACTGACCTCGTAGACTTGCACCTGTAATGACCCTGGTCCTAACGCTACCCCCGCCACCACCTATATCAAGATCCTCTTCATCCTCGTGTAACCGCTCTCGCTCCAACCTAGCGCTTTCATGTACTAGACATGCATCCACATGTGCCTCGACGACATCCCGATCGCCTCTGACTACCTGTGCACACACAGGACATGACGTCCCTCCCTCAACTTCCATAATCCAGGACTCTGCTTCATGCTCCTTAGCAAGCTCTTTGAGGCGCAGATGTCGTGCTTTCCGTCGACGCGTAATGGTTTGAATAGTCTTGCCAATGGCAGAAGGAGATGTGGAGGAGGATGGGATAGAGGTGGTAAGGGATTTGCGAGCTTTTAGTGCAGAGCGTCGGGCGCGGTTGCTCGGGCTGAAATGGGTGATATCAAATGCTCGTGCAATGTAGTAGCAGACAGTTAGACGCACCCTTCTTCCAAGTCATCAACTTCTGCCAAGACCTCTGCCTCACCAATATGCTGAATGATGTCTTCCACCCTTTGCATTTCAAGAGCCGCATGAGCCGCAAGCAGACGCACAGGGATCAATTCTGTACATGCCGGGCATTTCCTTGTCTCTGCTCTCTTAGCTATGTGTATCCTCATTCAGTTGAGGTCACAAATCGAAGAAAGTCACGTACGCACGTTTTTTCACTGGGAGCGCGATAACAGGAGCTTCCGAGTGTGTCGAAGAGAGTGAAGAAGAGCTCGGAGACGAATCTCTCGCTCGTTTCTTGCCTCTGGATGCTCGTTCAATATACTGTTAGAGCACCGAACAAAATGAAAGCACGAACTTCATTGATCTCTGACGTCCCATTTGTAATGTCATTTTGGTGCTCAATATTCCGGGGAATACGTGCACATTATTCAGTGATGTGAGTGAAGCTGAAGCAGGTTTTGGAGGGATGGATTGCATGCAAGCAAGTTGGATGTAGCCGTTGTGTAGCCGATCAACTTGAAGACATTGGTCCGATCAGATCTGAACCACGTGACTCTTGCCGTCCAGAGGTGCTGCAAGTCTTTTGTGATACATAGAATTTCATACAACTGGCTACTTGAAGACCAGGATATGCGGGTTACGTTGTAAAATAATGGCTGAGATGTATTATCAAACATGCTAATTAATAATAAGTATCATACTCAGGCTTCGAAGCTTGGAGGAGTTGCATATGCACCCGTACCCGCACTATATGGCCTTCGGGAAGCCATGCATGTTTTACTATACGTCAGACGGATACCACCGTTTCTTATGAGCCCGTCGAGCGTGGAGCCAGTGAGGTCATTGAGAGACATCGTGGCATGATGTACATCCTGAAACTGCCGCCGCCGTAAATCAGAATGAGGCTGCGAGTGGAAGAAAATATCTTACGTCGACAAAACACATCATTCGCCCGTCACTCTTGCGAGTGAATAGTAATCTTCTATATCCCGGGCGCAGAGAAAACAAGGCTCTTAATCGAGTTTCAAGATAGTCACCATAATCCCCTGTGCTCCTAGGGAGATTATCCACGAAAAGCGTGTTTATGGGAGGATATCTGTGACAAGGTTCGGTGTACTCTTGTCGCAACAACTCTCCAGGAGCATGAGGCACAACCGTCTTGTTCTCGGGGTCTGGGGGATAAAATGCGAAAATTGAATCCACAGAATCATCTACAGTCGGGCGTGATAACTTCGGCTGCTGCTGTCTGTGTCTCATGGGTCCAGGTAACGGTTTGGAGGGAGGATGAGAGTCTTTGTGCACCATTAGAGGAGACTTCTCGGAACGGAATACACGGCACGCGTCGTTTGTTTCACCTGAACAATTGGCAATGTCTTTACTGATAGTGTCGACTAATTGTACAGTTGTCGGACGACTTTCCGTGCTCGAGATCGGGCGCCAGCATTCCGAGATAAGAGCCCAGTGTTTCTCTGAAATGCATGGATCATCCGGCCGAGGCGGAGTTTCTCCTACAAGCAGCTTTGCTATGATACGAAATTCAGCCATGATGCCTCTATCTGTATACCACGGAAATCTGTTAGAGAGGATCTGGGGAACATAGTCAAGTCAAAGACAACTCAGTGATGAAAGCCAACTTGCCTGTAGCATCACGCTACCAAAAGAATATATGTCACTTTTTGGTGTAGGCAAATAGGAAATCTCTGGATCTCCAAGAAGCTCGGGAGCGGTCCACCGTATTGCACCGGGACGGCAGGATGACGGGGCAATCGAAGATCCACCTTCAAGTCCTCCTATCACGGTAGAAAGTCCAAAATCCACAAGGCACGCCATGCCTTCTGCATTTATCAAGATATTGCTCTACAGACCATCTAATTCAGATACAGATGCGTGTAAAAACGATTCTCTTACACCGGTGAGATCTCCGTGGATGAGAGGGAATGAGTGTACTTGAAAATACTGGTCTAAGACGATACAAGTGAACTCAGAGGAAGATGACCCACAGTAGTTTAAACCAGCTGCGACATCATGAAGCTGTTGTGATTGGTGGTTCAGCTCACACCTAAAACGATAGATAGGTCTCACCAGCCATAACTTCGATATCAGTGATGAATTTCCACCATAGGTGTCCAAGAAATTTGTCAATGTTCCATTGGGTATCCAGGGCGAAACGAGAGAGATGGTCTCGGGGGGTCCAAATCTCGCTGTTACGCCTATGAATGGCACGATATTCCGATGTTTTAATTTCATCCATATTTTGATCTCTCGACGGATTCTCTACAACGTGAAGTTCAGCCTTCAATATGAATGACGGAGAACAGATCCCACTGACCCTGATATCATCCGCGCTAGGCAGAAAACGCAAAGCCTTGACAGCAACCTGAGAAGGAATCATTACATTTCTATTGTTCAACACACAGAATTAAGGCGCTCATACTTGAATTTGACCTGACGTGGTCTGGTAGATGCCTCTGTAGACATTTCCGAAAGACCCTCCGGCCACAGGATGGTCATCTAACCGGAGAATATGACCGGTGAGGTCTACGGGCGCTTCTACTGCTTTGTTCATTTAGTCGGGTCAGATTGAAGGACGAAGTGAGTTATGTGAGGCTATACTTGTATTGTGTTTTGCGGACTGGCCTAGGAAGACATAGCGCAAGAGCATCTAAGAAGGTGGCTGATGCAGTCGAAGGGTTCAGCCGAGGGAGTCGATCTCGAACCGTAACTAAAGCGGCAATGACTCGGATAAAGTGTTCGAAGAATTGTCTTCCGAGTGAAGGCGGTGGTTGTCAATGTCATTACACCCCTTCACACAGCTTTGAGTCTAACCTGTTTGTCTCAATTCCTATATGGTCATGGAAACTGTGTCATATGTAGGGGCACTGCATGCTGCAAAACATTTTTTAGAAGCTGCCGCATAATCTGCCGCTTCCATGCTGTCTAGTCATGATGCATGAGCTGCCATAGTGATATGGGTATCTGAGTAAAGGCGGAACACCATCGTCAGAGGCGAGAATACAGCAGCGTAGTAGCATTGCAAATAGAGACCTGAAATAGTGAGAGGAATGAATCGAGCATACCAGTTTATTCCAGACTTTGCTGAGACCCCACCTACAACTGGCGGGTATAGGAGTATAGTATTTATACTCTCTTGACCTCCTACGCCTACAGACGCGGGTAGTCGAGATCAACCACATAGAAGGCCAATACCACAGTACTAGTGTGTATAAAAACCTGCAGTACGAGTTTAGCCTTGCTAAGTACCTTTGCCGGGACTAATTAGGTGACAAATAATGTTACAAAACCTCAATTAGGAGGCAGGCCAATTTTTGAAAAAAAAAACTCGTACTGCAGGTTTTTATGCAACACACTGTAACATGGTGCAAACATCAACGAGTTCTGCCTGCTCAGATTCTTAAATTACAGCAAGCCAGAGGTTTGGTCCACATCCGAGCACCGTATTGTGCTGCCACTCAAGCTTGGTGCCACTGCGGTTCACGTATTGACAGTATTGGGTAGAACACCTTCCTAGGTGCTTCTCGACTTTCTACTACTCCTGGATCTCAAAACTGGCAAGGATATCATCGGAGGGCAGATGGGTATTCTACAGGTGCACGCATTTGTTCATAAGTTCGACAACGCTCACTCGCCCATGGGTGAAGCTTGAGGATGAATTATCTTACTTTTGAACCAATTTTGAACACAGGTATATTTGATCGAACTGCGCCGACCCTGTCATCAGATTCGAATACGAGTTTTCCGATGCCCAAATTCCATATCCGCGCTGTGGAATGTCATATTTCGCGAAGCCAAAACACATGCGACCTACTGAAGGAATCATAACTCTACTATGGACCATCGGGTCACAACTTGTGGTCCAACACATACTTGGATGCGCCTTCAGCCACTGCTGTTTGACTTGTTCCGCCATTGTTCACGAAGTCTTTAAGAGGGCTCCTTCGAACCAGTTTTCCATATTATCGACCAATCATGGCGACTATTCCCCGAGCTTTATTCGGCGACCTTCCCATCGAGCTCGTCAACCTCATCATGAGTTATGCAGCTCGACCCACTTTTGCTCAACCAGACCAATACAAGGCGAAGAATCCATACTCAACCGCTCGCAAACTCTGTCTAGTCTCCCGATATGTCAGGAGCGTTGCACTACCCGAAATGCTGCACACAGTGTTACTGGATTCTCGCAACAAGAAGGCTTTCGTGCATGCTCTACGCATGCAGAAGGAATACACTCAGACGGATTCTCGTCTTTGTTTTGCGTACACAAGTTATATACATAACATTTGGATCGGAGAATTTTGTCCGAGTCCCGAATACTCTTTTGCGCACCGCTCCGATGACATGTTTGTGCCTCATTCAGACCTTGACCTCTTGGCTCCGGTACTCCTCGGCGCACCATCGCTTGCGATCGACTTTGCAAGCATGTATTTCTTGACACGCTGCGTGGAACATGTATGGACCGACATGGGCGAGAACACCGACCAGGAATGTTCGCCACCTCCGTGGCGCACGAAAACTTTAACGCTATTGGGGAATGTCACTAGGCCATGCCCCATGACGATGTTTGCCTCAGGATCAGCCTTTCTGGCTTCCCTCGCCCACCTTGTTGTGCTCCCTAACTCACTAGGAGACGTAAGTTTGCATGTCGCTGGTCGGGCTATTGGCGCTGTTGGACCTCGAGACTACAACCTCCCTCAGTGGATGGCGCACGCTCCATGGGCTTTATTGAAGAGGCTTGAAACCGTCTCTTTGGCTTTCCCGCGTGTGGAACTCCCGCTCGATACAGCTGAATTCAGTGCAGGAATGAACTTGCAGACGGAATTGGTGACGTTTCCCGCTTCCCTGGTGAAGGGCTACCGCGTGCCCCTGGAGATAAAAGCATCTACGGAGACCGGAGAGGGGCGTATTTCTTTGGACGACGTTCGTGTTGTGGTATCCGATACTCGGGTGCACTTTTGTATATATTGTCAAGAGTGGGAGAAAGTTTGGGCATGCGGATGGCCCGGGTAGGCTGGAGGTGGAGGGATGTTACGATACGACTGATATGTGCATGTTCGCAGATGGCTTCGTGTATTGAGCATGTATATATATTTCTTGGCATCAATCAATGGGCTTGGTCGGGACTTTGTTTATGAACGTTAAAAATAAGTAAATCGACTTTCTATTACGCCTTGACAGGTGAGAATCAACTTGGATACGCCCGATGGAATCGTCCGCTTAGCTAGGGAGTCGTGGATTTGTAGCTGCATTTATCTGTAACAGGATGTTAGTCGACAAACAGGTACTAAGTGTGCATGAATGCATACATTAGGCTGCGCTTCTTGTGCAGACTGGATAGTGGCAAGGATGTGAGGTGGAGTGTCGCATATGTAGATCTTGGTGTCAAACCGGGTAGTGTATGCCAGTTGGTGTGAGTTGGGTGAGAAGATGAGGTGGTCAGGAGCATGAACGTCGAATGAGGCGAGGAGCTGGCGCGACTCGAAGGCCCAGAGCTTGATGGTCTGATCACGGAAGCGCTAGCGAGGAGTGCACCATCGAATGAAAGTGCTAGACCACATATGATATTGGTGTGCCCTTCAAAGGGAATTCTGACAGTCTGCAATGTCGACGCATCGAACTCATAGATCGTCTTGGGCTCGTCAATGTCATCATCATCCTTGAAGTTAAATGCGGCCAAGATGGTGTGGTCTTTGGCTGTCCAAATCACTGGGGCACGTGTCGTCATTCCCCAATCGAATTTCCACAGTAGCCTGGTATCCAATCTATGAGTTTCAACATCCCACACCTCGAGACACCTCGCTACATCTGATATGACTGCGAGCTTCTTTGAGTCTTGCGAGAATCGAACCACGCCCACCCATCTAGTTGGGGTTTCGAATAGTAGTTTGCCAGTCTTTAGGTTCCATACCCGTATTGTGCCGCATCTTCCGCATCTTACTCCACTCGCCAGCAGGGTGCTATCCGCGGAGATATCGATGCAGGTGATACTCTGTGAGTGGCCTTCAAATGTTCTTGTGATCCCCGTTCTAACTTCCCAGATTTTGAGTTCCCCACACTCATTGTCATCTCCACCAGCAGTGACGATCCATCGACCATCCCTTGACACACCTACTGCATGTACTCCCTCCTCACAAACTTCCCGTACCCCCTCAATCTCCTTCCCTGCCTGAAGGTCCCACCGACGAACAGTCTGATCTTCAGATCCACTGACCATTTGCTCGCCATCCGAAAAGTAGGATATGCTGCATATGTTATGGTAGGTCCTCTCTGGAGGTTTACGAGTGGATTTTTCATGGCCCTCCAATATCATGACTGGTTCCAGAATTGACTTCTTGGATGCAGCGCCGGGCTGTGTCGAGCTGGAAGCCATATCGGTTTATTCGCTTGGGAGGTTGGCAGGTGTTTGTCGGTGAGTTCGAAGAACCACCAGTAAGTTCTCCGAGTCTTCGTGCACTGTTCTGAAGCTGATGTTTAGCTTGAAGTTACCCAACTTGTTCCCTGCTGAAGATAACTGTCAGTTCCGTACTGGAAGTTCAAGTGGACGCTGGCTCTAATCGCCCGATAAAAGATAACGAAGCCTGAGCTCCGTCCTATGCATAGCACAGTATGTGCTTTTTTTACCCTTCCTTCTTAAACCTGCTCACTTTCCAGCTCACAGCCATTCTCATGCTCTAGCACCCCAGCCTACACAACCTGGATCAACTATTATAGACCACCAAACACCAATTCGAACGCCACATACGTCTTCTTCTTACACCCGGAGAGCTCTTCTTATGATCCAGTCCTGCGTGGGCGTTCGCTCTCACCAATAGCCAAATATTACCAGTATCCAACTCTTGAGCAGATACATCTACATCTTCACTGCATGCTGGCAGTTGCTGGCGTGACTAATGACTACACGAGCACTGATCTATCCACTACGCCTGGATGTCGAAACCGAAGATGATGTCATCCGCAATACCATAGGTATTCGACAAGTGTATCCGAAGACTATTGGTCGTCCGGCAAATGCTTATGGTAGCGCAAGGAGACTCTATTGAAAGTGTGTTGTCGAGCGGCGTTTTGATGAAAAGTGTTTCCTGTACAACGGATGGTCGAGTTCTCCGTAAAAGAAAGGTTGCGAGCTTCCGAAGGAAATGTCTTCAAAGTCAAGGGGCAAAGAAGATTCACGTTGGTACGTTGAACCAAGAGGAGAGTATACGGGATACGTGGATTTCCAGAGTCTTTTCACAGAGTCAAGTAAAGCTTCAAGTATGTAACAAACCGTTGTGGACCTAATTGAAACGTGGCTCGTTCCTGAACGCCATTTCCTCCTCTTTGCACTTTGATGCTCATTATCGAGTCTTGTACGATCATCATAGGACCAGTCTAACATCACATCGTATGGCTGCAGACCAGCAATATTTGTCCTGCAACAACTGCAACCGATGAAAATATCAGAGAAGCTTTCTGACATTTCAAATGGTACACCATCATCATCCTTCTCCATACTAACATGGATATCGTAGTTTGATAGTGTACTCTGTAGGCATCGTGGTAGAAGAGTGGAGACTCGGATGAGTGTGGAACCGGTTATTTAAGCGCCGAGTAATGCCGAAAGCAATTGGGTTGCAGTGGCTCCCCGCAAGCTCCCTGTTTCTGTTATAACTTATTCCGTACCCCGTCGGCCGGTATCGTGTGTGGCGTCCAATTCTTTCCTGTGCAGTGAACTGTGTCAACTTTCCAACCACTTCCTTGCATTACACACTACTATTTCTCCTTCATTTTTTATTTTTTGTTTGTGGACGGAACATTGTCGTTATGAATCCAGCTCGGTCTAGTGCGCTCCACCAGCGGAATCGACTCCTATTGCGGACGGCAGCACAAAGTAGGCGGGCGTTGACCACATCAATACCAGTTGCCTCACCTTCCAGCTCTTTGCCGTCTTCCGGTCATGGACATGGACACGGGAAGGCGTTCAATTCCTCGCTTGCCGTAGAAAGCATTGCACGCAGCGATCCTGCCGAATTCGCTACAATCAATCAATTCGAGACTTCACAAATGTTCCCGGCACCGATCTCCCCGATAAAGCAACATGAAAAACTCGTGCAGTCTGGGGTACTTCGAAGTGACGATCATCAGATTCGTATCGTCGGCAAACTTCAGCGTTTCTGGGAGCAGGTACTCAAGTACAACCCCCCACCTATACCCGAAACGAGGACAAGTGATTCATTGGTGATTTTCTTTCATTTTCTCTCAGGACTGCTGACCCACTTGCTGCTAGATGTCTCGTTTGTTTTCTCGCGCACCTCCAGTACCAGGAACGGCGCCTGCATCGGCACCAAAAGGTCTTTACCTTTATGGCGACGTTGGCACAGGAAAGACGATGCTCATGGACCTCTTTTACCAAACACTGCCCCCTTCTATCACACGCAAGCGTCGCGTGCACTTCCACGCCTTCATGATCGATGCACATAAACGCATACACGCTACTAAATTGCTCATGGGACACTCTGGTGGCGATCCCATCGGTCCTGTTGCGCGGGACCTGGCAAAGGAGGCGTATGTGCTATGCTTTGATGAGTTTCAGGTTACGGATATCGCGGACGCCATGATTCTGAGGCGTTTATTGGAGGGCTTGATGAATCATGGTGTAGTTTGTGTAATCACATCTAAGTGCGCATCCAGCTTTTCATGGCGGTATATTATGATTGACTGTCACACAGTCGACACCCAGACGATCTTTACAAGAATGGAATTCAACGCTCAAGCTTTATACCCGCCATAGAGCTTCTCAAATCGCACTTTGAAGTGACGGACTTAGACTCAGGAACTGGTGTGTATCTAGTCATACTCTTCCGGTGTATGTAAGATCTTACAATTATCATGCACAGACTACAGACGGATACCACGCGCCCTCTCCCACGTATACTATCATCCACTAACACCAGAGAATAAAGCCGAGATAGACAAAATCTTTAATTCACTGACATGTCCAACTCCTACCGCTGCGCTTCAAGATCCTGTTATTGAGAATCGCCCAATAACGACATGGGGCCGCACGCTTCGCGTTCCGCTTTCGACGTCAAAGGTTGCGCGATTCTCATTCGAGGAAATTTGCGGCCGTCCATTGAGTGCCGCTGATTACTTGGAAGTGACGAAGCAGTTTGGTACTCTGTTTATTACAGACGTGCCGAAAATGGGGATGGACAGGAAGGATATGGTATGTTTCTCCCATTCGTAGATCCTTGCAGCATTAACCATCATTCTACAGGCAAGGCGATTTATCACATTCATAGACGCATGCTACGAATCCAAGGCAAGCTCGCGTATTTCATGCTTATGATCGATAATCTAAGGACTGGCGCAGACAAGGATTTTTGTATCGTCAGAAGTACCCATATACCAGATCTTTTCGGATGATTCGGCGGGCTCAGGGAACGGCATCTCAGATCACATGCGGAGTGTGATGGATGATCTAGTACGTTTCCTTTCTTCAATTCTTCTTACGACATCTCAATTTCTGTAAAGGGCCTATCTCCGGAAGTTGTGGGCTCAAGCTCGATGTTCTCAGGCGATGAGGAAATATTCGCGTTTGCGCGGGCTTGCTCGCGGCTGGTGCAGATGGGGAGCAGAGAATGGGCAGAGACAGCTTCTCAATAACAAAGACACGTAGATGCCTACGCGCCCCCTGGTACATAAGTATATATATATTGCTGATTTTTCCTCTATATGCAAACTCATTCTAATATCTCCATCTGCAAATCCACTTGTTTACATCGTCGCTGTAAGCATTTCTTATTATGACGTGACCGCGATATGCTGACCTCCTTATGATTGTTCGCAGGCTTTCTTGCACCGATATATACAAGTTAAGTTCGTAAACCAATGTCCACACTATCTCCTTCAGCGCTTCAGCGGTTAGTGATTTACGTCCTGTTATTGTTGTGCAAATCTTATCTCTCCCGTGACTCACTTATGACTCGGTGGGCGTCCTCATTTCTTATGGCGGGGAATACGTCGATCAAGGTGCCGATGAGTCACTGATCAACGAATTTCCCAAAGCGTTTCTGTCCTGTCAGGTCTGCTTACAATTTGCGGGTATGGCGCGACAATACTTAGATATGGACGTTCTCTACCGAACCTCCTGAAGCCCATGATCGGGATTTGTCATGCGCAAAAGTAATACCCTACCCTGGGAATATCTTCGACGCGCTACGTATAAACGCAGGGAACGCTCGAGGTGCTCCCAGATCGGATTCCGCTACAGCACCATGTCAAACACCCCTGTTACCGAAATCATCACGCTCACGAGCAATGATGCGATGAAGACAACCCCCAAGTTCCAGGAGGCCGTCGAGCTCTTGCGCCAGTCCACTTTTGAAGGCCTCCAACGGATGTACTGGGGCGATCGCGTCCAGCAGCCTGGAATCAGGCAGTGGTTCATCAGTGAGACATTTCGACTCTAGTGACTCTGTGTTCTAATCACGCGCACAGATTGGGATAGCCGCCCTCAGAGGTCTGAGTCGACGGCCGCGATAGCGGCGCAGATCAAAGAAAAGCTTGACGCAGTTGTTGACTGTCCTCCGACGCGCAGGCTCGTCGCTTTCAATCCCTACCCACCTACCAAATGCTTTGCTGCGCCGTTCACAGAAGTCATTATCAGCACTGTAAAGCCTGAGACCGACCTGAATGAATTCAGCAAGATCGTCGACGCATCGTTGGAAGTCTGTCATGACTTCAAGGGATGCTACGGAACTGCGTGGGGGTACGTTGTTGGTACAGAACACGCGAACGAAGTAGTGTTGTTGCTTGGATGGGAAAGTCCAGAGGTGAGTACGCGTGATTTAGAAAGCGTGAAGCGATGCCCATCATATCTCGATAACTCTCAGCATCATGTTGCGTTTATGAAGACGGAGCCTGCCAGAATAACAACAGCTCCTTACGTTGAGGGAGTAGAGGACTCGACCGTCTTCTACGTTCAATCACAAGATGCATGAGAGTGATAATCGATGAATCAGAAAAGGGTGAAAGTGATTGTTCTAGTAATACATTGTGGCTTTGTTGCAAACATCTACACAATCATGATCATGTTTATCATATGCCCGACATTCCCTTGCTCTTGTTGTCCATCAAGCTTCCACGCGCAGCATTCATGGTTGTCGTTCCTGAGTTGATGCCATTCCCGGGCTGATCTTTCCCCTTCTCCAGAATGTGCATCAAGACATCGACATCTTTCGTCGTGCCGAAGATAGTATCCAGTTGTTGTTTTGAAGGCGCACCCAAGATGCCCTGTGCACCTTGATTGGAGTAAAACACTTTGAAGGCTAGGAAGTGATGCGATTAGATCACAATCACGCGATCGAATCAGTGCTCACAATCGACTACCTCAGCTAGAGGTATCGTTCTATGCATACGTAGGAATCATCAGTGGTGGGTTATCGGGCGATACTGGTGCACTTTACCTGTCTGCAAAATGTGAATCAGGTCATGGATTATCTGATAGTCAAAAGCCGAGATGCTTACCTCCTGCTTTCCATTTCTTGTACTATGATAATGTGAGATCGATTGTTTGTCAAGTCGATATCAGCTTACCTCTGCTGGATTAACAAAGGTGATGAACTCGTCTGTCGACTGAGTGTCGGGCTTGTACACAACCTTGGTGAGGGACTTTGGCATGATCGATAGGGATAGTGTGTTGGTAATTGGATTGTATTAGAGTAATTTGAGTGGTTCAGAAAAATGCAACGATGATGATGTAGTTGTTGGTTGAATGATGGTGGTCAGACGGAGCTTGCGAGTGACATTTATACCCCACACGCCACTTTGACGTCACTGAATTAATGAACACTTGGATATCACATGACCATAGACGCATCACGTGCCAGCGCACAACAATGAGATCGTCAATTGTATGTAATAAAGGTGTTCATAGATACCGATTGCACGGTTCTCAATAAAGGTCTCCAAGGCGAACACAATAACGATAGCTCGCCGTGAGTCAGCTCAGCCTTGTCCAATCCAATGCCGGCGCGGATCGCCCGCCACTCTTGATACTTACATGAGTCAGAGGAACGAGGGAAGGTCTAGGAGAAGTACAACAATTAATAAGCGTAAATGAAGGCAACCAAAGATACTAGCCTTCCATGGGCGCATTGAAAGGGAAATGCAGTCGCAGCAAGATTTCTCACAAGGCGTTCGCACTGTTCCAGTGATAGTGGATCGTTGAACATGACCGCGCCTGGATCAAGTAATGAGTAAGAGTATATCAAAAGCACTTTGATGTTAGTACCGCGACACGCTTTTGAGTTGATCAAATCCAGAAGCTCCTGTGGACACCAGCGAAGAGCCTTGAGCCACCGCGACTCGTCATCCTTGATGTTATCGACGTCTTTTTGCTGCGATAGGTTAGGAGGAGACGCTCCCTCGCTTTCGAGAGTTCCCAGGTAGCCTTTAACAAGGTCTCGCAACTCATCGTTCATGAGCAACTGTACCACAGGACAATAAGCCTGTAACACCATGAAAGAGTCTACGCGTACCTTGTCGCTCACAATCGCAGGTATTGCTCTGACAAAGACTTGTACATACCCGCCACTGGCTTCATCTCTTGCATATTCATATTCCGATTCGAACGAGGACAACTTAGCCAATCCCTCAAAGCGTATACCCCACCGATCGAATGCTGACTGTACTTCTTGGATAGTTGCCAAGCGCGAAGCTTCGTGATGCGTGAGTAAAATAGGCACAGCAGGCGACAGTTCCGAAACTTCGACGCCCCCGGTTCCCTCGCAATGTCGTAGGAAGCCAAAGCAAATTTCGGTTAGAAAGCGTTCTACGCGGACTCGTTCATCCGCAGCGTGCTGATCAATCAGGATCAGAGTTGAGCCATCCGCTGCAAGGTTTTTTGGGGGTTTCCCATGTTCCTGATGGGCGGAATGATCTAAATGAACTAAACAGGCGATGAACTTGCGGTCGACCTGGTTGATGACCCGTGCCTTCAATAGGTCACTTTTGTGAAATCTTGTTCGTGCGTGTTCGGAACCTGACTGGAGATATGATGACCCAAAAGCGGAGGCGCAAGAGCAGGGATGATTAGAGTGAATAATAGGATAACCCTGATCATCGGAAGCTTGATTAGCAAAGAGCGGCAAGGATGGAATCCTTTGCTCCGTAGTAGCATACGCATTGTTCGCCTTAGATACCGAAAGGTCAAATTGTGTCTATCTCAGACATTCGGAACCTACGATGAGAGCTTCTTGTAGCCAATCGGGTATTTTATGCTGAGCAGGGCCGGAACATGGACCCTCTCTAAGAAGACGTGGAATTCGGGAAACACGGTTCGCGCTAGCCGAGTTCGTTCCGTCGATCTTGTGGCGCGAACTTTGCAAATAAGAATTTCCAGTACGAGGATTCACGATGAACATTTCAGCCGTTTCCCAAACCGTCGTTCGCGGAATTTGCTCGGACATGTTTCCCTTTTGATCACGATCAGCTGAGTACCAAAGCTTAACGGTAGGCTCCCAACCGCTCACCTTCCTATTAGCTGGAGGCTGAGGGACCTTATTTTGGTCTGCGCTATTTGGAACCATGGAGACTTTGCGCTTCTTGGGCGGGGAACCACAGCCTTCTTCAGCGCCACGTTTGCCAGATGTGAAACCATGTCGAATCAAGAACGAATCAATCACAGAAGATAGAAATGTTGTCACCACATTCTTATGCTGTGTGCACCGGATTCAGATCACCCGGGAGCCGGTCGTGAAAGGAAATCTACACACCTCGATCTGAACTGCGGATTTTGCTGGTTCCAGACAGTTATCAATGAGTCGCGTTGGTATGTCCAAATTTAGAACATAGATAGCTTTCTTCTCGCCTTTGCGGGGCGAACGGCGCACCGCTAGAACTGAATTAAGAACTTTCTCAATTGGATCAAACAAACCTACATGATCTCAGACTCGTTTCCCCTCCTTCATCATACGCCTACAGTACATAAAACACGAGAAAGATACCTCAGATATAAGCGACTTACATGCTTCATAAACGTACTATTCGAGAATTTATTATCAATTAGGCGATGAAGATCGCAGAACGATATCGGATGTTTGTTTATGTCTGAGAAACGACTGAGCAGACGCTGCAAATATGCTTACTCACACTCACACAGATACTGATGAGCCTATTTTGTCGTGAGTGAACAGGTGTCATACAAACTTGTGTCATCACCTTCGAACGTGCTCCAACAAGGGACATGAATCCCTCCACTTTCAAATCTCCGGATGTGGCATCAATCTCTTCCACATGCTGTACCAGTCGATCATGAGTGAATGACGCTGGGTTCAAATCGGTTTTCTCACCTCGGTCAGTGCGCGACCATACATGTGTCGAAATGCAGCCAAGATTGAACGGGTCTTTGTCGTGTCAACCGTGAGACGACATGTCATCTGTTTCAAAAGACTTACGTACCTTTGGAACCCGGAGAACCTGCCCCTTGCTCGACGCACTTTCTCTTGATTTGCTGTCATCTTGAAGTGTGAATGCCACGTTGGGAAACATCAGAGCGTATGCCTCGACCTCTTGCTTGATCCCATCTATAGTCTTGGCTGTAGAGGGATGAGATTGACGACGAATAGGAAGCTGTGTGCGCGCGTCAGAAGAAGAAGCGCCATGTATGGCTTGACTCGCGCTAAAAAATGCATCCCTGACGCATACGACACTTCCTGGGGTTTCTCTTCGCCACCGAATCGATGGTCCTGAGTACAAAGACTTCCCACCCTGCAACACTAGTTGAGCCATGTTCGCACAACAACCGCACTCACAAACCTTGAGAATGACAGACCAACTTTCTCGAGACTGAGACGTGCGTGACGAAATTTCCAAACAGCATAATTCAGCCATTGATGATAGAGCTATATGGAAAGTCTCAGCGACCATTCGACGAGTGGAATAGCACAAGACCTTCTCCGCGAAAACCAAATGTCGAAACAGAATCTAGGGATGCTGGGGTATATGCTTTGGATGTATCTGCGATTATTGGCTGAGTGACGTGTCTGAATGCCATAAAATACGACTCACTGTATCGTCCTTCTTCCGACCCCTTGCCAATCATAGTCAATCCCGCTTTGCTGATCCCAGCACCATTATCCCGTACCCAACAGCTCCATTCTTCGCAGTCAACGCCAATATCCACCTGAGATGCTCCGGCATCCAACGAGTTCTGCAACAGCTCCGAAACTACTTGTGGCAAAGAAGTAAGGAGTTGTGCGGAACGCAGTTTTGCACGGGTCTCTACAGAAAGCTGGTTCAAAGACGTTTCACACGACATGAAGAGCAACCAATGAATCAAGAAATTTTGTTTATGAATGGCGCATTGGTGTATTGAGGAGCAGTCAAATCTTTACATGACGAAATTGCATTGGGCGTTGTTTGGCAAAAGCCTTAAAAACAAATAAACGAATATGGCAGGTCTAATATTGCTCGACTTCGGGGAAGCAGTCGGCCAGACATCCATTGCAGTCCAAAACCCGCAAGAAGGTGGGGTTCAATGTTCAACCGTCCGATCATTCGGAAAAATAAATAAATATCTTTACATCCTGAATACGCCGAATCCTTTGCCGTCGCCGTCCCATGTAGTTGAGCCAACCGATGCCCTTCCGCGCGACGTAGGACGCTCTCTTGATGCTAGCGCGAGCCCAAGACCAACCACATCTCGTGTGTCCGCAGGCTTGATAATACCATCGTCCCATAAACGGGCAGTAGAGTAGAGCGCAGTTGACTGTGCTTCAATGTCTGCTTTTAGTGATGAATGCTGGCTTGGGTCTCTGCAAATGGTAAGTATTAGTCCGTAAAAGGGAGCATTTGTGTTAGGGAACTGACTTAGAGACCGTAGTCATAACTTGCGATAGCTGACCAGAGCCCATGACTGATACCTTCGCATTCTGTTATGACTGTTATCGCAACGAACTCCATTTCAAAAAGTCCGGACTTACGGGCCACATCCATAGGAACCGCGGGGAGTACTAGATTACAAAGCACGAACGTGAAGCCACCCATCAGCATGTCTAAACGGAGGTTACTTACAGCGCGCCCAGCCATTCCTAAAGAAGGACCATCGTTAATCCAACAGAAGATTCTCAATGGAGCATGCATTACCATAATTACCAGCTCCAAAACTTCCTCCGACGATGACGGTTAACTTTGGAACATCAGCGCATGCAACTGCTCGAACCATCTTGGCACCATCCTTCGCAATCCCTCCTCTCTCAGCCTTCGAACCTACCATGTAACCTAGATGGGATAGGTCAGATCATCTAGCGGCCCGAACTATAACACCACCTGCCAGTGACGTTCACCAAGAACAAAAGTGGAATTTGACGTTGTGAACATAGTTGGATGAAGTGTGTGGCTTTTAGAGCCGATGGGGAGAATAGAATTCCATTGTTCGCGACGATACCTACTTCGTACCCATGTACATGTGCAAAGCCCTGGATAACTCTGTAAGGGAATGCAGGTTGTGGATAAAAAAGGGTTTACCGTAATCATGGTCGGACCATATTCCTTCTTGAATTCTCTGAAACGGCTGCCGTCTACTATCCGAGCGATCACATCTCTCATATCGAAAGCCTGGCGCGAATCGGTGCCAACAATACCGTGTAGCTCCGAAGCGGGGTACACAGGGTCCTCTGACACTGCGGATGGCTAATCTCTCGTGTCAATGAAAAAAAGAAAGCTAACCCTGTATCATCACGTACACCAATTGGTTTCCAACCAGCAAAGCCGAGGTCGCCGACCATGCCCCTTGCTATTGCAATCGCATGCTCGTCATCCCGCGCGAGATGATCGGTCACACCGCTTTCACTTGAGTGCATTAATCCACCACCAAGAGTCTCTTCATCGACTTCTTCGCCTGTAGCAGCCTTAACCAACGGTGGTCCTGCGAGGAAAATTCGCCCTTGATCCGCAACAATAATATTTTCGTCGGCCATTGCAGGAACATATGCGCCACCTGAACCGGCAGTGAGACAAATACAGTGTTCTGGGTTCATCACTCACCTGCGACAGATATACCATGTACTAGTGCAATCTGTGGAATACCGAGAGCAGACATTTGAGCCTAAGAAGCGGGATGAGTATCACATGGCATTCACGCATATGCGTCGGATCCATATTACCATGTTGTAGAATATACGGCCAAAGTGCTCTTTATCGGGGAATACCTGGAGCGCTAGTCACAACTCTGTCGGTCCCATGTTCTATAGAAACTTACGTTGGCTTGATGAGGCAGCGCCGCACCCCCCGATTCGACTGAAATGAACAGATTGCGTTTGGCAAGCAATGCAGCAGAAAGAAGAATGACATACCAACGTAGACACATGGAAGACCATGTTCCCGTGCGATCTCCTGCGCTCGTAAATGTTTCTTGACCTGAAGAATTATCAATATTTGAATCTGCATGCAACTTGTGCCAGTTTCTGCTCACAGTCAGAGGATAGTATGACCCTCCTTTAACTGTCGCATCATTCACGACGACCATGCACTCCCGCCCAAATATTCTACCGATACCTGTGATAATCCCAGCACCGGGAATATGCTCTGGGTAAACTTCATGAGCTGCTAGTGGTGACAACTCCAAGAATGGGGTATGTGGGTCCAGTAGCAACGACAAACTAATGGAGTAGTTCAGCAACGATTACCGAAATTCTCAGAGTCTCTCAGATTCCAGGAAATGTAATTAATGATAATGTGGAGTGAGCTCACTAACCGTTCTCGGGGTAGTTTCTTTCCCCTGCTTCGCATGCGCTCTGCAGCCTTCGGACCTCCGCCTTGTCTCGCATGCTCTAATTTGGCCTCCAAATCCGTAACCAATACGTCCATGGCATTCGCTTTCTCCCGAAACTCGGGCGAGGCAGGTGAAATCAGCGAAGGGAGTACCGAAGCATGATACCTCCGAGAGCATCGTGCAAATACGGTCGATGACCGTGTTGTGCGCTTAAAGGCAGACTGCATGACGAGTAAGCGATTCAGCCTCGACAGATAGCAAGAAATAAACGGTTCGCAGAAGAATAAGAACGCTCGTCAGCTGTTTCAATGTTCGCGGCCGGAACTAGGGTGCCGCCATTGACGTTATTCGGGGACCCACACTTGCATGTAAATATATATATGGATTGCAGCACCTGACGACGTCGATCACCACCACCAGCGTCCATTACATACACTAGCATTACAGTCACTACAGATGCGCACAGCGTATCCTTCAAGAAGCTAAATCTACATCCACAATGCCTATCAGAAATCCTTCCACTCATCCCAGTCATCCTCCTTAGATTTCGAAACAGGTCCAGGGGTCTTTGACGTACCTGAAGTGGGGTGAACAGCCGACTGACCTAGGCTTGTGCGGCCGTCGGAATACTCGTTGAAGAAATCCTCTGTGTCATCGTGATATAAAGCCGACGTCTCCCCATCATTATGCATCGACAGGGCTCCATATCCAGAACCTTGTGGCCCTGACCCCAACGTGTCTTTCACCGTCCCCACAACGCCTCCTACTTGATCAGCAACATCGATGCCCAACTGAGTTTTAGACCATTCATTTGCCGAACGACCTGCATCTTGTGCGCGACGTTGCGCTTCTGACATGTACCCGCGAACGGTAGCATGCAGGTTTGGATCCAGAGCACGCTCCATTCCAGGTTGAATCACATTTTCAGTGACAACACGCGATGCACCAGCGACAACTGCAGAAACGAGAGACCACCCCTTGCTTAGGGCGGCTCCCGGATTATCCTGGAAGTCTTGAAGTGTGGGAGCTGAGGTGGATGAAAGTCCGAACGACGGGTGTTGAGAGGTTGGAGGTGAAGGCGTGTTCCCAAATCCTTGATAACGGCCGCCTTGTGAGGGGGGTAAATCTGCAGGGCGAGTGGCGTTTGCTTGACCTAGGGATGAGAAAAAAGCTTCGTTGGCAGATTTTTGATCCGTAGTGGTTAGATCCAGGGAGGGTTGCGGCGAACTTGCGGAGGACACCGGAGACGTAATGTTACGTGCCGAGGTACGCGACTTGCGTAAACCTTGCGCAGAAGACGGACGTCCTGGAGAGTTTGTTCCGCTCCCGGAGCTGGATGGTGGGGCGGAGGGAGTCCAAGGTTTGTCGGCTAGGGCCGCGTCTAACTGGAGAAAATTGAGTCAGAGATTGCAAGATAAGATGGTCGGCATACTTTTTCGCGATATTGCGAAGCTGCCCAACAATGGTAGGTATCGTATGCACTTGTACCTTGCTTATATCCGCCTTGATCTATTGGTGTGTATGACTCGATGAATTGTCTGAAAGGAGCATTCCCGCCGAGCTTGGGACAGTGAGTGAGGAATATAAACTTGTCATTGCAATTACCCACCTGCATACGCTTGATCTGATCCGCCTGCCAAGTATCCATTGAAACTGATCTCACGAAGCTATTGTCGCGTGAGATCTGGTGGATGAAGAAAGTGCACATATGATGGTAAATTCACCTGATGTGCACTCCGAACCCTCTGTGTACACCAGCGCATTGCAAGCACAGAAATATCGCGAAACTAACTTTCGGGGGATGACCGAGGGACACAAAGAAAGGAAGCACATGTATTCACCTGAAGCCCATTGTGGATTTGGATTACCACAGTCTACACATGTCTTGTTCTTCAGATCCTCACGCTTGCTGAGCTCTTGAAGAATCCTTTTGGCTGCGACCTGATCCATGTCGATGTCGACGTTGCTCAAAGGACTGGGCGTGAGAAGGGTTACCAAGTTTAGGTGGTCATTTCCGTCGAACCTTGGAAGTAATAAACCCTGTTACTATTACAATTGGACATGTTCAAAACCTCACGCTCAGTGATTTAAATTTTACAAGAAGCCGCTACTGTTATTTTTCACAGATCATGACGCGGTTGATCATTATATGTACTTGCTTAAATGTTTTTTTTTTTGAATGACATTAATATTAAATTGGTTACCCACGGAATTTCGGCATTCCCAGGGTTACATAGTAAATAGTAAATCTGATAGTAATCTGATAACTAATTGAGGGTGAGTTTTGAGTTTTCCCCGTTGCCACATATATATCTGTCCGAGTAAGTTTCGGAGTGCGCTGGACGCATCTTCCAGGAAGGAATGAAAGTTTATTACGGCTTTGCATAGCTTTGGATGAAGTACTTATTTGATGAGGAGTGGCTCGGTAGTTTAGCTAAATTTTGGAAGATCTGCGTCCTGTGCAACGCGTGCCTCGAGCTAAACTAATCGAGGCAGCAGCAACGTTATCCTCATACCGTGACCTTCAAACAGTCAGGTTACTATAACTGCATCCCTGTCTAGTATTAGACAATTCTTAACACCCATAAGACGCCCTACGACCTTTTATTCGGGTAGAGCTAGTA